ACGTTCATATGATGTTTTCTCTGGTTTTTGATAGCTGGTTGACGATGGTTTAGGATATTAAAGCTATTTTAATGAGTCAGCTAGTATGACACTTCCACTCCGCTTACAATGCTTTCTATGAATTGTAAACAAATTCCTTTTATTACCTAATTAACCATAAAATGCATAAACCGTTTTATGATAGTGTGATCCCATTAAACATGGTGTCTAAAGCATAACACACTGATTTATACACATTAATGTTAAGGCGATTCACTACAATATTGATTGGCACTGTCTATAATCTAATGTACATTGTGGAAAAATTCCTTACATTAATGTAATTGCATAGTTAGGAATTGTAATCACGGTAATTAACATATTTCATCGGCTCACTTTTAAATTAGAAACTGGAGTTTATATGTAAACGCATAGAAATTATGGGGAAAATGAATACCCTAGATTAAATGTCTGTAGGGCTTTCGTGTCCTTGAAATTGGATGGTTAAACTGCAAACCTCTTGTCTTCCTCCTGGATCATACATGTTTAGTGCCAACTTCAGTATAAATTGAGACATGAGAATTGTCTTTTGGTGAGATATCTGTCTTTGCCCCGTGATAGTGACTGTGTCTCATTCTGTTCCAGAGTTTCGCTGGTTTGTACTTATTCTTTATTTTGACGAATGATGTCTAGGAGTGGAGTGCAGGTAGTGCATTTCGTCCCGTTTGGGACTCATCAGACAGTGGTGCTTGTAACTGCCACCGGATAATGGTATTCCTACCGGCATCGTTTCAGACGCCAAATTGGAGTCCAGTAGACCACAGGAACTGCTAGACCCACCTCTTGTGCTACCATTACCAGTTAATATTTGTTTAATTTAAATTTATATTTCCTATCGATTTATTATGGTGATCCACTTTCATGTCGGATCCTTGTATGGACACTTCGACGATATCTTGGGATTATCATGAAATTATATGGTAGATGTTGACTAACAGTGGAATTTAGGATGAGCACTTCATCCTATTTGGTACTCGGTAACCTTCAGCAATCGTCGAAGCTTTCATGCTAGGAGCTGAAATCTCAAGTTCATTCCTCCTCTTCGTCAATTAATCCATCATCACTTCGCTGATCAGTATTTTTACTGAAGGCATCATACAACTACTTACGAAACCTTGTCAGTAGCTCATACTGAATAGATTAGTGATAATGTCTTCAACTTAAGCACCGTGCGATGCGACGGCGTCAGCTCCTTCAAGATTGAAGATATGCTAAGCTGACCAGTACAGAAATGTACTTAACTCACATTCAGACATTCTTGAAAATTAACTTCAAACTCCTAAAATAGAGTTCTTGAATAAATGATGTGAAGTAACATTAACTCCCCGGTCATAGCTTGTATTCTTCGGAGATTGTTGGAGTTTCTACACTAGGGGCCGACATCTCATGGTGATTTCTCCTCTCCAGCACTTAAACCGTTGCATCACATATAATGTACTATTTGAAAATTCTTGTCCTTGTCACACGCCCCAAGGTTACCAAAAATCTTGGACATTCAATCCAGACTTCGTACAATCAAACCATCCAACTTAAGATACTATAATTTCAATGTCAAGAGGTGTAAATTTATATCGATCTGTAAATCTTAGGTGACGATTTCTGTGTCAATTTGTGATAATACTTCATAATCCCGAATAGATCAGTGGTAAGGTCTCTGACTGAAGCACTGCCTAATGCTGTGGAGTGAGTTCCTTCAAGGTTTCAGATATGCTATGCTAACGAGTGCAAAAAGATTACTAGACTAAGGGTCAAATATTCCTCCCAGACGTTTTTTAACAACCTAACGTAGAATTCTTGAATAATTCTGAGGTGAAATAACATTTTCATTAACTCTCTGCTGCTAGTTCTTAACTATTGCAATGACGTTCACTCAAGGTGTCGTGGTCGTAACACTCGAGACCATCGATCTTAGATGCCAATACATTGTCATTTAATTATGGGGTTAAAGTTCATACCCTAAGAAGAATCTCGAACTCCTCTCAATGAAAAATGAAATACCAACTCATCTTAACTTCATCTTAAGCGTTCGTTGACTACATATTGCTGAAGCTATCGGAATACACATTGGAAGCCTGAGTCATGTATCTAAAAGAAGCCGGTTGGTTCAGACACTTTTCTTACCTTGGCCATCGGGGTTTTAATGATCCTCAATTTTCTATTGTTGAGATTTCCTTATTTTTACTTTACAAATCGATATTATTTAAAAAACACTAATATTGTTATTAACTACTAATCTAGAATATTCTATGTATATAAACATACAGATATCTAATTGTAGAGCCAGAAGAGGAATTTATCGAAAAGGATATTCATTGCTCAATATTTTTTTGTTTTTTCTATATGTTTGAATGAATATTTTTGCTATATATCGAAATGCTAATATTATGTACTCGGGTCAGTTTATGTCTGTCGTCACAATTCATCCGGCAGGCCATGTCCATGAGTAATTGTGAGAACTTTAGAAAACACTATCTAACCACTACGTGGCATGGCGGTGTGGGGATTTCCTGAATTTTCAAGCAAATGACAACAAAACTGCATGTGATATATCCTCAAAAGTTCAAAATAAGTGTGTAGTGAGAGCTGTCTGCGAGTCAAAATTGGTAGACAACAATTTACGTCAAGGTTTACGTTCCGAATCGGGGTCATGAGAAAAAACAATATGAAAGCCTAACTTTCAGGAGCTCAGCAGCCAATCACATCATACTTGAAGTGTATAAATACGTTTCGCAAATATATGGCTTAATTTTCTGAGAAACGGTTACAAGCAACACAGAATAACCTTGAACAAGAAAACGACCAATCAGAAGAGGTTGCTTCTCTGGTAACAACGCTAGTAATAATGTACATAAAAATCTATAAATATCTTTCGGCCTTCTCAATAAACGATCTGTTCCCTGGCTCTTGTCTTCTGTTTTTACAAGTGGATTTCAATTCCCACTAACCAACTAACTCAATTGATACGGTATATGTCAAATGTGCCTTATCCCGTGAGACGACAGTCTTCGCTTTTACCAAACAGTCAATAAATTACGAGGCAAAAGTAGTTAAGAAGATTCACATTCCCAACGGTTCTGAGGGGTTCTGTTGGGGATCAAAACGTCTCTCGTATTACTCATTATTATAAAAGTTCTTTTTTTATTTTCCAGTGAATGAAAAACAAAGAGATATTGCCGGTTTTACTGACGTCTCACTATTTAATTCTTCTGTTAATAGCTTTATCAGAGCAGTATTATTAAACCAGAATTTACAAAATCGCAGCTTATATATGAAAACCTAATCATCGTTCCTCTGTATGGGGTCACTTTTGCGTTGTCATATTGGTCAAATGGTAAAGATAACAAAACCAGGTGTAGATTGTTGGATTTGATAAGTACATAAGATTATAAAAGCAGCGTGTGTTTACATAATGAAATTGCTTATCACATCTGTGTTAATTTTGTCATTTTATGAGAGAGAGAGGGGGTGATGTAACCAGGTCAAATTCTGTTTTAGTCCATCATTCCTATTCAGACAATTTGGATTCCATTTGATTACACTAAGTACTTCTGATGATATCAGACGTTGTTTGTGATTTCTGAAATGCTTTTCTGAATTATTTCAATACTGTCAAAATCAACTTTGTGACCTGATTCTATAGCATGTAGACGACCTATGGCTGGTTGATGATTTTTCAAGCTTTTCTAGTTCACTAAATGGATTTCTCGATGGTTGGTTGAACAGATGCTCTATGGTGTTCGGTTCTTCTGATTACCTTGATTTCTCTCCGGAGATGTTTGTCCGATATATATTGCATCACACTCCAGTCATTTTATTTTATGGATGCAATTAGATAGACTCCTTTGGGATTTGGTCTTTCATGTGGACGAGATCGCTTTATAGTGTGTCTAATGTTTTGAAGAAAAAAAATCTGATGTTGTTCTTATTGAATACTCTTCTGATATCATCTACCATTTCTGATCTTTATGGAATGACAACTATTGAGGCCCATGCCTTCGCAATACCTTTTCGACCATATTTAAAATCAGTGTGGATTTTGTTGATTAAGTTCTTAGGATAGTTATTTTTCTTGAGAATTTCAGTAGTATTTGAGACTCCTTCTTCTCTTTCCTTTTCATTCGTTATCATCAAAGAGTGTGCTCGTCTAAGAAGACTTGAAAACAACTGATACCTTTGCGCTGATACGGTGTATTGATTCAAGCCAATTGGCCAACTTGATAATATGAAAACAACCCGCTGCTGATGAACCGATGATTAAGTTACGGTGTATATTAGCTGAGGTTTTTTATTTCTGGTTTAATATTACTACTTCGATAAAGCTATTAACAGTATTAAATAGCGAAATGTCAGTAAAAACACAACAATACCATTTTGTTATTCGTCCATTGGGAAATAAAAACCTTAGTATAATGAATATATGAAATATCAAGTGGCTTAATTTTTTCAATCTGTTAAAAGTGAACATTGTTTATTTCGAGTTTGAGCATGGATTGGTATCAGTTAGAGAATCACTGAAAACCAACCAGGAAGTGCTGGACACCTGTTTCATCAGCCTAGTTTAGGACTCATCGGTAGTACGCACCCATCACTAGGGTTCTGACCCAGGACCTTCCAGTTACAAAGCAAACTCGTGTATCATTCAACCAATGGGATCTGATTCAGTGGACACTGCATGAATTCTAATTTCTACCAATTCGTGATTTGTAGCGTGACCACCAACCAATGTCATAGACAGGAAATCCATCCTCACACTTGACTGATTGGACCTCAGTGGTAACGATTTCCTGCCAGAACTCCAGGACACTCCATCCTGTAGCAAGTCACTTGCGAGCATCAGAACTTTGTGAACTTTGTTTGAACATATATATATATATGTTAAAGACATACATATCATATTACTGGCTGAAATCACCGAAAAATCCCCAATAAAATTTAAAAACATACACAAGAAATAGTTTTACCTGAACTTGTTATATCCTCTGTATGCCTCTTCACTTCGATGTAATCAATAATGAGGAGTTCATAAATAATCACAATGCATAATAAGTAGTAATTATTGAACATATGAAAAATTAACTAGTTTGATAAATTTTTGTTTTGCTTTATTTCTCTTATTTTAAATAATCCACAATGAAATTTATTATTTTTTTAGAAAATCTGTATGATTTTAAGTTTTCAGACCGTAGGTGTTACGAGCTTCCTGGAATAATTTGAGCGTCGATTCAGATTGATTCATTATAAATTATTTAAATTAATCCCAGCGTGTTAAGAAAATCAAAACAAGATCTGTTTTCTGGACGTTTCGCTGTGTAAGCCACAGCTTCTTCAACAGATTTATTCGGATTTGTATTAATCATCAAAATATATGGTCAAAAATTTCATTTAAGAAATTGACAACACTATTAGTTATCAATGAGTGATGCTGTCAAAAATCTTCGGAAACGATAGTCAATTTCAGTAAAGCAGGTCGCTATAACTTAACTAAGGCTTCTGATTGGTTGCTTAATTTTGGCATCAGTGATTTGAAATATGATTGGTCGGTTATTTTATCTATGAAATAATTGAAATGTGATTGGTGGATAAATAAGTCGGCTGGAATTTGTACTGTTTGACGATGTAAGGTACCGTTTCATTTTAGAAAAACTGACACAATTACTCGCTATAGTATAATTCCCCTTGAATTCTGAATGGAAGAGAAGGCTTCACAGGCACATCTCCATTTCATCCTGTCCTACTGCAGACCTTTCTAGTTGACTCCAAGACTGACTATAACCTCTCACCTCATCTTCCCAACTGGTCGTCTCCCACACCACGCTTATACCTTCTGATTGGTTATCTGATCTCCAGAGTATGGAGTGAAGGGGATAGATATTGCTGAAAGTCTGTCGCCTATCGGAAGTGCTTTCGGTGATAAGACAAGTTACTGAGGGGTGCATTAGATTTCTGATTTGTACCCGTCACCATTTTCTATATGACCGTTAATACACTTGGTAGTTTGTGATAACAAACTTCCTACCTAGTCACTTTGCGAGCCTACCGTCGTAATCATTATTAACATCAACGTTAACGACACACTGCAATACTTCTGAAACGCAACGCAAGGAGACAAGAAGAGATGACTGATTTTTGATATGGAGAGCTTTAACTTTCTCGAATAAAAAAGTGAAATGGTTTGAAAGCAACTGAGGATATATATGCTATAAATGGCCTTGAGAGATACTGATTACATTGGCAAGTTAAGACAGCCAACAACCAATGGGATTCCATAGGTCATAAATGGGGTGAAAGAAGTGCAACCAGACATGTATGAGGCACATGTAGAAAAATGGGCCAATATATCAATTTCTACATTGATTTCAAACTAATTAGGGTCTGTCTTGCCTAACCTATCCAGGCTGGCATTGACATCTTTATCTGTGCCATCTCTAGTTGGAACGACTCTACCTAGATTCATGAAAGATGCGGCCTCCTTTAGATTCCTTCCAGAAGTGGCGATTTATGCTAGTTGTTATTGTTGTTGGTGTTGGGTAAATATCTTCATCCTACCTGTCTTCTCTTTGTTCACTTGAAATCCTATCTTCGATGCCCACCCGTAGATCTTGATCTTTGTATGACATTAGACATTTATCATGAGCAAATTTCAGATCTTTAAGAATTTTATTGGTGGTTCAACGTATGTTCATGTTTACGCTGCCTACACACAATCAGTTGCATAATCCAGTGCAAAACAGGTAAAAATATCATCGTCGATAGTAGGTAACCTTGTCTTACTTCTGGTTTCAATTCAAAGAATTCGCCAATCTTTTCACTATGAATCACTTTGATATATACAGACCTAATTTCCTACATGTCTGTTTGTATTTCTCTCATCCCACTTATTGATTTATGATCTGATATTGTCTCATTCTACTTGTGGTTTTTGAAATCCTATTGGTTGTTCACTGTCTTAGTGTATCAATTACATTAGTGCTTCTCAAGGTCATTTCAGACCATAGTGGAATAAGCGAATGAATACACCTTTTCTAGACCCACAGTTCAAGGTTATATTGGTGAATCACTAACACCTCCGTCATACACAAGTTGAATATGCGTATGGCTGGAAATCCATACCAGAAGTGTAAAGAACCAAGATAAGACTCCAGAAAGTCGTTTAAGTAGATATACATCAGAGATGTCAGCTGAAGAGATTTAATTTCAGTGTGATAAAAGCACCGATATGGTTCGAGTGTTATGTAGACGTTTTTCATTCCTTTACGATCCAAGTGAAAAATAGCGAGAGATTCAAGCTAGAGGTAAATCAGTGAGTTGTCGATCGGGGATCGAGCCCAAGGCCACATGCGTGATTGACGAGCATTCTACCACTTTGCCACTAACGCACACAAACTTATCCTAGTGGGAATATTAAAATTATAAATTTGTATATCGGCGGCGGCAGTTATCAAATAGCGGAGAAGTGGAATAAATGAATGAGGCTTACGAAACAACATAGCAAATATGAAAGGACGATAAAGCAGCATAACATTGAAGATGTGATTCTAATATACTGTAGATGTATATTTCCTGTATCTGTGCATCAAGTTGCCCGTAAGTATATATATATAGTGGAGATGCCAGCCGATGTCATTGGTGAGCATTTGTTGATGATGCAGTTGCCTGAATTCCTAGTGAGAAGTCGTGACCAGTGAGGTTCATCAAGCTGGGTGTTGAGAAAAATACTAGCTGATGACACTGGCTGTCGTTCGTGCTATATAAATACCGTGAGTTGACAGAGGTTGGAATTGGTGGGCCACTGGACTCCATCCCAGTCGACGAATGACCAACCAGTTCGCCTTGTAACCCTAAGGTACTGAAACTGATCCCGAGTGTGGTGATGGGTGTGTACTGTGAAGAGTCCCAAACTATAATGAAGCAGCTATTTAATACTTTTCGATGAAGTCAGTTCGTGATTACAGTTGAATTCTATCAAATCCCTGCCAACCGACACTTGAAAAAGGTCGAATCAATCGACGGAAAAATCTAAAATTGAATTAAATAATTAATTTGACCCGTTGCACAAAAGGTTGTTGTCGTGGCCCAGGTAGTCTAGTGGATAACTCTTCGACGTTTGAAACTATAGGCACTGGGTTCGAGCCTCTGTGGGAACACCATCAGTCACTCACTGGGGAATTCAGGTACATCCAGATGATGAGTCCCTAATAGGACGAAATGCGCGTTATCTTGGTGGATTCCACTGCTAGTCACCATCCACCAATTAACTTGAAATAGGTAAGTTTCAGATTCATATATGCATATATAACTTGGGGAGTGCAATCGGTATTTTATTTCCCAGTAGACATTGACTGTTCTAAACCATATGACTTTGAAACAGCAAACGCCAAACTGGAAACTGAATTAGCTGAAATCAATTTAAATACAGATTTAGTATCCTCTGAAGAATCCAGCCACGAGATCATGATTCACTAGGAATAGATCAAGCCGCATCACAGATATATCTGTGATAGCAGTGAGTATAAATGGTGTATCTGGTGATACTTTATCAGGATCATTGAGTTCAACTAAACTAAATAACACGAATGAGGCGTATATTGCCGAAAATTAAACCGACAATGAGACGATAGGAGCTCTCGCTAAGTAAGTTTAAGCAATTATAATTCAAGTATTGGTTTGTAGGGATTTTGATTGAATGTTTACAAGATTTCATCATGAGCTGACATTGGTTAGGGAATCCACTAGTGCAAAGTTGTGCCCAGCAGGGTGCAGCAGGTCGGATGTGAGGACAAATACTCGCCGAAGACTTTGACTAGGGGTTGTGCTATGTCGTGAATTGGCAGAAGTTAGAATTCATGGGCTGGCCATTGGATCTGGTCTCAGTGGCTTAATGGTCTATGAGCTCGCTAACCTTGTAACCAGAAGGTCCTGGGTTCGAACCCTGGTTGTGGGTGCGTACTGATGAAGATTCCAAAGCTAGGACGAAACAGCTGTGCAGTACTCCCAGGTGGCTTTTCAATAGTTCTCTAACCAATATCAGCTCATGATGACATCCTGTAACCAGTTAGAATTCAACTGGCTATAAAACAAATCTAATTATGCTTGCTATCATTTTGGCTCCATAAAGTGCTTGTAATCTTGAGTACTTCTGCCAGACGTTTCGCTCAGATCTTATGTGGATGAAACTAATAATTTTGACTTTCCGCTTGACTGATTCGACCGAAATGTTCGACTTCTTTTGTTGACATGTTGGTTCCATGCGCGGACTCTTCAACGATATCTGAGCAATAACATGGCGTAATTTGGTGATTGAAGACTAGCAGTGGAATCCAGGATGCACATTTCATCCCATTTAGTACTCGTTAGTGGCTGAATGTACCTGCATTCTCCAGTGAGAATGTGGTGAGAGCTGTCTGCTAGCCGAAATTGGTAGACAGCAATTTACGTCAATGTTTATGTCCCAAATCACGGTCATGAGAAAAAAACAAGAACAAAGACTAACTCAACAACCAATCACAGCAGACTTTACGTGGGAGGATACGACTGGCAGATATATTATCTGACCCTCAAATAAATGGCCACAAATAGATGAAAGAATAAAATTCAGTGTGTAAACGACCAATCAGAAGACGCTGTTCCTCTGCTAACAAAAACATATAATAATGTGCATAAAAATCCATAAATATCTGTTGATTTTCTCAATAAACGGTCTGTTACCTGGCTTTTGTCGTCTGTCATTACGAGAACACCATCAACCACTGAGGAGTCCAGGTAAGTCTAGATGACGAGTCCAAAATAGGACGAAATGGGCATTCTAAATTCTAATGCCAGCCAAAATCCAGTAGAATACACAACCAATCCTCTCCTGAATATTTCTTAGCCCCAAAATAACTACGTCTTCAGTTGTCATCTGAAGTGGTGACGACTAGTGGCGTCCGTCAAGGATGCTCATTATCCCCATTTCTATTCAACTTCATCATAGACGCACTAATGGACTTAACCCTTACTCACTTCAGAGACTCAGGGAATGACTAGCTACCAGGGTATAATCTCGTTGACTTAGAATATGCAGACGATATAGTCCTTTTAGGCGAGGACGCTGACAAAATCAAGAGTCTTCTAAACACCTTGAGCAACAATCTTCGTATGTTTGACATGCGATTCGCCCATGTAAAATGTAAGATGATGCTGCAGGATTGAACTTCACCGACCCCTAGATTAGAAATAGGAAGTGAATTGGTAGGGCACGTTGACAGCTTCACTTACTTGGGAAGTGCCATCAGCCCCAACGGGTTGGTCTCGGACGAAATCTCAGTACGGATACAGAGGGCTAGTTTCGCGTATGCCAGTTTACGCCGTTTCTGGCGTAGACGTGATATCCGACTGACTGGCTATCGACCAAAGGGCGTATGTACTGCTCATCAGTCTGCTCCATCCTCCTTTATGGCTAACTGTGAGGCCTGGCCATTGAAAGCGGAAGACATGAAAAGATTAGCTGTCTTCGATCATAGGTGTCTGCGTTCTATCTCCCGCGTGAAGTGGTATAATAAGGTGAGCAATATTGAGGTTAGGCGTCGAGTGCTAGGTAAGGCGGGGAAATTAGTCGATGAAACTGTGAAATTACATCGACTGAGATAGTTGGGACATGTGCTACGTATGCCTAGTCGTCGCCTTCCTCGACAATGGGCAATGTTAGCTGATATAGTGCCAGGCTGGAAAAGAGCTAGATAGGCGGTGGTCAAACGAAAACATGGCACCAGTCAATGAAATGTACAACAGTCTAAGCCAGGTAGGAAGGTGTAGACTTCCTGGTTGGGGTCCTCGGGACGGTAAAAACCAATGGTTGGAAACAATTGGTGATATGGCTCAAAATCATTCTCAGTGGCGCAGATGCATCCACTCCTTGTGACTTATGATTTCCAATGAAACTATGTTGTTCTTCGTTATTACTATTCCTTTGTCTCACACCTCTGTTTACTGTCGATATTATGCATTTCTCCTACTTTTTTCTCTTGCTTTGTGTGCTGAGTAAAGTGTGGCGACTTGAACTGCCACACATATGTGCGAAGTTCTATGTCGAAAACAGACAGACGGATAGACGCCTTCATACGTGTAAGATTTGTACATGATGGTAATTGTAAAGTCTGTTAGGAATTTACGGAAAACACACACAAATTTGCTTGTTTAAATCGTCTTGTATGTATGTTATGAATATTTTCTTTTTTTCTTTAGTTTATGAAATCAAAACCAAAATTAAAAACAAAGTTACATATGTGTACAGCAATAGATTACTGTTAAACTTTATCAGTAATATGTTCTAAATTCATTAAATTATCTGATCTTTCTTTTTCAGCGTGTTGTGATTGTTGTTGTTGTTGATAGTGCTGGTTTTGTGTTCTTCTCAGCTGAGATGAACTCCTGCCATTACTGGTATTCATATTATTATTACTACTATTACTATTAGTATTATTATTTGATAAACGTGGTAAACTGTACATATTATTACTATTATTGTTATTATTATTATTATAATTATTATTCGTACTCTTTGTTGTATGTGTTTGATCCAATAATATCCATGGGATAACAGATGCTTCTTGACGAAGCCATTGAATATGGATCGGTAGAAAATTGAATTTCTCTTGCAGTTGACTATTGGACATTCGAAGAAGATCTGCCGGAGTCATAGGGATACACTTGTTACCATAACGACTGTTGCCAGCGTTGGGATTATTATTATTATTGCTCTTATTGGTTTTGTTGACTACACCTCCACAGGCGCTACTACTACTGCTATTACTATTGTTATTATTATTATTGTTGTTATTATTAGTGATACTACTGTTATGATGATTAGTAGTATTAGTAGTAGTGGCAGTGTTCGTAGAAATACTATAATAAAGTATATGATTTATATACATTGGTAGGCCGATTGTCACTAAAAACTCTTGTAAACTTCCAGTTTTTATTCCATCACAGTTAAGAAAACGCTGTGATGTAATCTCATCGTTGAATGATATCTGAAAGTAAAGGGAGAGAGAGAAGAAACACAATGAAAAAGACAGAGATTGAGGGATGAAGAGAGGTTGAATGGAACCAAAAGTTTTGTATATCACACAGTTTAAGGTTTTCTGTAATAAAAATCTGATTATACCCGAATTGCATTATGCATTCTACACGATATCACAAATAGTAGTTAAGGCAGCAAACATGATTAATTGCATTATGGCATATTATAGTGTTCGATGCAAGCGAAAAGCAACAAGTTGGCGAAAGAAGAAGCATCGAAGATTGGACTGCAGGTGAACATAGAGAAGACAAAGGTGATGAAGATTCCTGGACAAGAACAACAACAACAGACAACGATCAACATAAATGGGAGGAACCTGAAAGAAACAACCTCCTTTACCTACCAACCTGGGGAGCATCGTTTCAACTACAGGCGTACAGAACTGACGAGGATATCAAAGCAAGAATCGGAAGAGCAAGACAAGCTTTCACTACTCTCAAGTCTGTGTGGAGGTCAACAGCACTCACCATCAAAAATAACATCCGGATTTTCAACTCCAATGTGAAATCAGTCAGTGCTACTATTCGGATCAGAGACTTGCACTGCACGTCATAAAGAGCATCTCAAACAAACTAAAAACCTTCATTAACAGCTAGCTGTCTTCACTCAGTACTACTCAAGATCAGATGGCCAGCCAGAAAAGATCAGCAACAGAGATCTCTGGCAATGAGCGAACCAACGTGGCAGGAACCGATTGTGCAACAAATAGGCAAGAAGAAATGGAGATGGATTGGCCATACTCTGAGGAAACAAACCATCAAGTGACATCACTAGACAAGCCATTGCTCGAGTGGAACCCGAAAGGGAAGCGGCGAGTTGGTCGTCAGTGCAAGGGTGACTTGGAGGAGGTCATGTGAAGAGGAGATGAAAACATGTGGGCAGACTTGGAGCCAGGTGAAGACTCTAGCAGAGAACCGAACGCAATGGAGACGCATGGCTGAAGCCCTATGTTCCTCTAGGAATTAAAGGTTACAATAATAATAATATAATAGTTTTCGATGAAAGCAGCTAGAGTCTACTTGCATGATTTGGACGCCAGATATTCGTTTTGCTTGTTTGCGGCCGAGCTTGTCACCAGTTTATCAGGTTTAACTTAGGTCAGAGAATCGCGTTAGTTCAAATCAGCCGATTACTGACTAGCTACTTCGGTGAACAAGCAATACGCTGTACTGAATTCTAAATTTGTTAACATAAATATTCACAAATTGTGAATTACACATTTCGAGGCGAAATTCTATCACAAAATTTGTTTTGGAAACTGGAGTCATTCTGATTACAATATGTGCGATCTGATTGATTCCATAGTTAGAAATCAAGAAACCAAACGTGAATGCACCAGTATTTGGACATTTACAGCAAGCTTCAATTATCGTTAGCCATATCAAAGTGTTCAAAACACACTACAGCCATTTCAGTCGTTTGGGCTCCACTCAGTGATAGTGCACCCAGTTTAACTTAGCCCAGAAAGCCAAATCAATTCAAATAACTCTAATTCTGGCCCACTATTTGGACGGCTCAGTATTACTGTAACAACAGAAGACAAGGGCCAGGCAACAGAACGTTTATTACGGAAAATCAACACATATTTATAGATTTTGATGTACATTATTGTAGGTTAATGTTAGTAGAAAATACAGTCTGTTGATTGGTTGTTTCTCACACAAAGTTAACCTTGCATCTTTTGTGGCTGTGTCGGTTCATCTATATGTTAACTGTATCCGCCTGTCCATCTTGACCTTGTTCTCACATGACTAACATTGACGTCAGTTACTGTCTACCAACTTTGGCTAGCAACCATCTCTCACCACAATACATATACATACTCATAACTTCAGCAGTTTTAAGTATCATTTAAAGGAGAAGAACTGCCATTGGAAGTCAGGATGCAGCTTTCCTCTACTCTGGGACTCGTCATCTGAGTGGACCTACAATCCCCAGTGAGTGACGGTGTTCTCACTGAGACTCGAACTGAGCACCCACCATTTCAAAAGCTAAGGCGTTATTCCATAGACCGTTTTGACTACCAGGATAGCCTCTTGTGCAACAAGTATCACGCAATCGTTGAAACTAGTTAGCATTGGACACCTGTTTCATCCTAGCTGAAGAAGCATCAGCGGTACGTTTTATCAGGAGAAGAATCTACTACCTTCAGTTTATGAGATGAGCCCAATTGATTTTCAAGTTACTGGTTTGAATTTTTTAAAATTTTTTCAATTTGCGTCACCACCATCCAATCCAGTGCTACTAGCGATCATTCGTCTTCATAGGTCATGGGAAAGCACTGTTGAAAAGTCCAGTGCTGCCTAGTTTCCAATGGTATTCTAAGTAATGTCGCTCCACAACAAAATCTACCTAAAACTCAACAGTCGGAAAAAAAGTAGAAAGATTCTCCAAGTCTTCAGGTAAACTTACCACAGGTCGTCGCATTTCTCTCAGTGTTGTATCTCTTTCAGCCTCTATTGCCATTGCAACTGTCATCAAATCCAAATTTGTTTCAAATGAATACCGTTGAATTAAACGTAACGGAATATTTGCTCGACCAGTCTGTATATGAAGAGATAATGATAATAAAAATTTCGATAAAAAGTTTATATAAATATATAAGGCATCTAACGAATTTGTAAATCAGAAATGACATGTAAAATTGATATAAGTATAAAACTTGGGTACTCTGGTAGAGCATAACTCCATTACGGATAAGATTTTATTTTGATAAATCACACAGTGTTGTTATACAGTAATATTTACTGATGACCACCTTTCGAGCACAAACTATTGCTGGTCATAACCTTATCAAGCTAATCACACAACTTTCTACTTCATTTATATGCATGTGTGGAATCGATTAGATATTGGAATCACATTTGAATCGGAAGATGAACAAGGAGAATTAGCTATGTAAGATTGTAAAATAAAACCAATAGAAGAAGGTAAACTGAACACTAGCGTTTATAGGAAACCAACGCATTCTGGTGATAGATAATTAGACTTCAATTCATCTTATCCTTTAACTGTTAAGGCAGGCTTAGTTAAGTGTTTAACAAACCGAGCAGTAGCACTAAGTAGTACAAGAAAAGACCGAAACGATGAAATGAAACAGATAGAAGAAGCGTTGGTGTTGAATAACTATCCTATAAATTCATTAGGAAGATCAGAAAAGGCCAAAAGCAAATTAAAAATAATTGTGAAACTGGTAGTGATCACATAAATAAGACAGAATATAAGTCATCTACTGTAATACCATATAAGGACGGGACATCTGAGACCCTACGTAGGATTCTTGATAAAGCAGGAATTAGGGTGGCATTCAAACCAACAAACTCACTCAGATAGGACAAGCTCTGTAGGTAAGGGAAGAATTGTTGACCCCGAGAAGATAAGTAATTTAGAAAAAAGCTCAGTGATTGCACTTCACGCATTAACAAACAACCACACAATAGAGTGGGAGAGGGTTAAAATTCTAAAGAGTAACATAGGTAGGTGAAAAGAGAGGTTGATTACGGAATCCTTGTTCATTGTGTCTACACCCAATACATGCAACAGAAATGACTCAATGCAAATACCAGAAATATGGAAGATACTATTACCTCCGGTTAAATCAGAAGAGGATAATAAATAATCTTAATATTCTATTTCAATTCAAGCACATCACAACATTCTAAGAAGTAACTTATTATGACTATAGAAACACTCGTTTTATTTCCCATCTAATTGCAATGGATTAATAACACTCGTACTATTATTTCTGAATGTACATTATCTCATATTGAATTTTATTCCAATATCTAGTCGATTCCACTCATGCACATAAATGAAGGAAAAAGTTGTGTGAGTAACTTGATATAATTATGAGTGGCAATAGTTTGTGCTCGAAATGTCATCAGTTAATATAACTGTGTAACACTGTGTGATTTATCAAAATAAAATCTTATCCATAATGGGGTGACATGTAAAATATGTAAAGGGTTCATTGGTTTGCCACTAAAGTTTAGCCAGTTTCATGTGTTTAGTCCTGAATCGTACCGATACTGACGAAATCTAGGCTCCTGACCTCCTGATAATAGCCTCTAGTTATCGAATAGTGTATAGTGTTCCTTTGAAGGTTATATTATCGTGGAACTTCCCAATGAAACATTCAGATGATAAAAGGGGATATCCTTTTCAATAACTTCCTAGCCATCCGTCTCTGCATATATATATATATACACACATAATATTTAAACGGTAATCGTCAATGACAAAATTAATACTTTTCGAATAAGATTGAGTTGTTAAAATCAATAGAGTTATGGTTCTGCAAAGTATATGTATCCTTTAACACTACGGCATGCAGTGCTTAAGTCTTTATCAACCTCATTCAACAGCTGGCTATATGATAATGCCATCACATGTCAGGTGATCCACAATGAAGAACTCAGTGAGGCGTTCGAAGTGCATACAGGAGTAAGACAATACTTCCTTTTATCACCTACGATGATATTCTTAACTGTATTGGACTGGATTATGCGTAAGACTGTGCACAGGGGGCGAGGACCACCGATGAGAAGACTCTGAAAGATTTGGATTTCGCGTCGAGGATGATATATGTCTAATGTCACACAAACTCGAAGACTTGCAGGCAGGCGGAAACCAACAAACTGGTTGAAGAGGCAACGAAAACAGGACTGCAAGTGAACACAGAGAAGACGGAGGTGATGAAGATAACCGATCACCAGCAACACGAGAGATTCAATAGAGGTTACCTCCTTCACTTATCTGGCTAGGAAGCGTCGTTTCAACTACAGGTGGAGCGGACGAGGATGTCAAAGTCAGAATCGGAAAGGCAAGATACGCCTTCAACTGTCTGAAACCAGTTTGTAAATCTTCTGCACTAACTCAGTGTAAGGAACAAGATTCGCATTTTCAACACCAATATCAAGTTGGTGCTTCTATACGCGTCAGAAACTTGGCCAGCCTGCAACAAAAAGCATTTCCAACACGTTGCAGACTTTCATCAACAGCTGCATTCGCTCCATACTGAAAACCAAATGGCCAAAAAGAATAAGTAACAAGAAACTATGGTAACAGACCAACAGGTGAGAGTCGACCGCTCAACAGATATGTAGAAGAAAGTGGATTTGGATCGGGCATGCATTGAGGAGGCCACCGAATGACATCGCACATCAGGAAATGCCTCGAGTGGAATTCAAATGGGAAGTGACGAGTGGGTTGTCTTAGGGTGAAATGGAGGAGATTGTGTGAGGAAGAGATGAGAGAGTTTGGTTAATCGTGGACCCAGCTGAAGAGGACGGCAGTAAACAGAACAAAGTGTAGATGTATTGCTGACGCCGTCTGTTCCACTTGAACCTCAAGGGAATAATAATAGTAATATTCGATGTCATTTTCATTCCTTTGCCTTATGAGAGGAACACATGGCTTTAGGCTACTTAAGATTTTTCTAGAAAAGGTGTCATTGTTTTCGTGAGGTGGGCTAACTGTCCTCAAGCCCCACCTCTTTATCTTTCTCATGGTTACTAAGAGAAGTTTAGGAGTTGATTGGTCGAGAATGGGAATGTGATCTCCTTTGTGGCTGGCAGAAATTATTATCATTTAACCACCAACATACTCAAAGGCGTGACTACAATTTCGGAAAACCTGATACTCCCTCATAGATTTGGACCCCCATCGCCCAATACTGCAGACTGAGACTTTATCATTGATCTCTCCAAGCTGAATCATTCAGTGTGAATAATCTCAATATTTACGAATTTGAAACTGCTGATTTTGATGCGTAATTTCAATGTCTACAGAGTAGTTAACATCCAAATTCCGAAAAACAGTATCTCTTAGAATTTCTTCGCAAGTAAATTTCTGAAGTACAGTTCCATTCAACTTTAAAATCAGTGTGCAAGTTATAACAGTGTAATTGTTCAGAGAATCTCTCGTGAACAATCGATTTATGATATTGCTACTTATTTCGACATCCCAGCTAGCGTTGTAATCGGGATACTAACTTCTCCTAGACTATGTATAATTGTTGTGACGTTTGCATATCATCTGTCAACTTAATCTATATTACTTGTCTTTCTTCATGTTTAATGTCTAATCTGAATGGTTATCTTTGTCGTTGTGTGCTGATACTGATAGTGTTTTGTTTTACGGTGTGATGTTGTTTGAGTGAATGGAGGCCATTTTGACCTTGGACTGGCCGCGTCACTCTTGTGGACAGATTTTCTGCTTTCACCTTGTTTCGAATGTTCCACTTGATTCTCAGGTGCTTTACACAGTTTATTTTAGTTAACTATTTTTGATTTGTTGGAGGATTTCATCATAAGCTGACATCAGTTAGAGAACCATTGGAAAACGAGCACTAGAGTACTGGACATTCGTTTCGTCAGCATAGTTCGGGACTCTTCAGCAGTAGGCACCTACCGCAAGGGTTGGAACCCAGGACTTTCTGGTTACAAGGCTAGCTAGATCGTAGACCATAAAGTCATTGGGACCAGATCCAGTGACTAGCCCATGAATTCTAACTTTTGCTAATTCATAACTGTTTTTGTTCTGTAGTGCTTGTTTTGTACTGGAAGCTTCTATGATCTGATCACTTAACATCGTTGCCGGGGTAATTTCGAGTCTTTGATTATTGTTCAGCCGTACCACTCTTTGCTGTCACTGGAGCATCTTGTGACTGTGTGTAATTCAAGGGAGTTTGGTAAGCCATACACTAGAGCATAAAGATTGGTTTCCAGCGTTCAGACAACAACGCATCGGTTTTAATTCATAAAATATTCCCATTCGAATATTATTAGAGAGAAGACCGGTAGTTGAGCGAAGAGTCTCTTTTCCGCGAATTCATTATCACGGAGGCACAGTCGCAAATATATATATATATGGTTGCTTTGTATATGTGTGTACATTAAATTTGCCAAACGAAAACACAATAAGTAAGTTTTTGGTTGAGTTGCGTAATACGACAAGTGATGAGTTGTCACAAACGATTGTTAAAGAAGAGTCACGTAATGACATGAAGAGTTTGATGAAAGAGTTGTGCTCTGGGTGTACATGGAAACAAAATAAAATACGGAATTGCGTAAGAATTTTAAGTAGTTAGAAAAACAAGTAAAGAAAAGCACGTGTTAAGTCAAATCAGCGGAGTTATTACTATGAAAGTAGAAGTTGTTGAATAATTTTCTTTTGTATCCATAGTTCTGGTTCTTCTAACTGAATGGCTAGGGCTTCTGAAGTACAAAGAAAACGCATTGTCTTTGGCAGGTTGTTCTTCACTTTGTAGATTACTTTAAGGCAAGAGGCGTTTGTTGAGATTGAATGACCGTTGGTGACTAGATGTTCGATTATTGCACTCCTTATAAAGGCCACTACTTCCATTCTGCAGCCACGCTGGATAGTGTTATTTGAAACTTTTTGACAAAATGCGCGTCGATGTACCTGGCTTTGCAACAACAGGTGAACTGATATATACACATAGAAGTGGTCAGGTGCGAGATCTTGTCCTTCAGGCTTCTGCAGATCAGCGGGCGACTGCAGAACACTACTCTCAGTGTTGCCGAAAAAGAAAGTTCTTCTTAGAGAAGTGAAAATTCTCCTCTTAAGGAAATCACTGAGTAGGTTGCCTTTTAAGTCGAGGTTCATATAAAGGATTTTTTGGCACGGATGGCGTCTCTTGCTTTCGGATTTGCTGTTTGATATTTTTAGTCTATGAATCTTGGTGTATATCCGTTTTGTATAAAGACTTCTTTCAGAAAGTGTAGTTCTTCTTCCAGGGTATCAGAGCTTTAGAAGCCTGTCAGCTAGCCGTTCAATGTGGGTTTTCTATGTTTGGACCTTCTTAAAGTTTCGTCGATTTTAGCTGCTACGCAAGTTGAGACTACCTACTTAGGAGAAAGGAGACGTGAAGAACGTAGTTTAATGGACTACCATAAACATTACGATCGACGTGGCTCTAACTGCATAGTCAACTCTTCCTCTGCTTACGTCAGAAGGGTAACCAAGGTCTCCACAGATTTCTACTATATCATAATCAGACTACCTTCCGATTCCCCGGGGCCATTTCTACTTGAATCAACAAATTGTGTAAACAAAGGTATCGGTTGGATAAGAGCAACATATGTAGAAGTCACTTCATTCAATAGGCGTCGGTGGCACAGTGGTTAGGACTCTCGCCGACCATGCACATGGTCCGGGGTTCGATCCTCTGCAGACGCACACCTGATATCTATGGTCGGCGTGCAAAATTTGGGCTACCGATATCACATGCTGAAAATTCCATACCTGTACCAAAAAGTACGGTGTGGAGTCAAGCTGTAATAAAAAAGATGTAGTTTCACAGGTCTTCCTTACATAACACTCTATGTCTTATCTCTATAACCCCACCACATACCAGCAGTTATACACAAAAAGCCTATGACCAAATTTAACACACCAATAATTCGCGAAATATACCCATTAAGACATTGAAATAAGAACAAAGTAGTTCAATGAAGAGTCTCTTTTCGGCGAATTCATTCACTTAGCTGTACAGTCGCAAATATATATACAATTACTTTGTGTGTGTGTGTGTGTACATTAGGTTTGTCAAAATCAAAATAAAATAAATAAATAAAATAAATTTCAAGTTTATTTGTCGTCAACATTTTGTTATCATATTTTTTGCAATTTTTCGTATAACAATTTTTAGTAACTAACCCATTCAATTTTTTCACCTATTATCTAGTTTATTTTCATAATTATCTCCAAACTCCTTCACTAGCATCTAATCTTTCTAAACGTGTCTATATTACGTAAACCTACTCACATCTTACCAATCTTCACCCCACTTAGTTACAATTTTGATTGTTAATCACACATTTTAACTTCTTCATTATTTTGATGATGTAATCAACAACCCACACTAACTGTTATTTTGATTTTGACAAACCTAATGTACACACACACACAAAGTAATTGTATATATATTTGCGACTGTACAGCTAAGTGAATGAATTCGCCGAAAAGAGACTCTTCGCTGAACTAATTTGTTCTTACACCAATAATTTTAATATTGCACATCCTAGTTAGTGAACCATTAATATTTGTAGGCTAAAAAACCCTTAACTATATTGATTATGACTGTTTAATGAATAACACAGTTTTCGGCCATAAAATACTAAATTGTAATTAAATTATTTATTGATTTAAATTTATTATTATTACTTATATGTGTATTAAGTCAGTGAAGTGTTAACGTATGAAACATGTAATTTTGTATATGTTGTTCTTTTAAATATGATGATAATAAGCTCTGTTGATCCAGTTTTCTGACCTCAGCTAATTAGATACGATTATATACACATATATTTCAAAAATGGCTGACACATTAACTATATATATATCCCTTCTTCTTCGAAAGTGCTTAATGAATCTCCAGTATAGAACCAAACCCCATTTCCATGACATACAGACACAGATGTGGTGGCATGAAATTGGAATTTCCTTTACAAAAACTAAAAGTGTTAACATTCGTTTATGTTTAAGGAAAATTGTGCATTTCCATTTCCGCAGTTCCAGTAATTTTAATCAGACAAATTATACTACTTATTATGGAAAACTAGTAGGTCAATTATTTAATAGAAATTTTGTGAAATTCCTTTGGCCAAATGAAATCTCGGGTTGATACAAGTTAAACAAGCCTTGAAAACCGGATAGAACTGCGTGGCTGTTTTTTCGTAATTATGCATTTTCATCAGAACGCATCCATAACATCGTATGATGGAGATTGAACTTACAGCCTTTAGGTTGCGAGTAGAACCACTGTGATTCAATCTAACATCATGTATTTTATTACTTTTGCTATTATTATTATTTATTGTTCGCTTGGGTTCCGAGTGGAACATAGGGCTTCGACAGCACATCTGCACTTCTTCTTATTCTCTGCGGTCTTTTTCGTCCGGCTCTAGGATTGCCGGTAGTCCCTCATCTCCCTGGGGCATCGTCTTCTCCATGTCATCCTCGGACGTGTCGCTCAACGTTTCCCATTCGAGTTCAGTTTGCCATTTTCTTTCATAGTACCTTATATTTCCAATAGCAGTGAAAATTAGGAATAATCAAGTGCTAATGTGTTTGATGTTTTGGCTTGGTAACATACACAGAACAAAATCCAATGACACTACTTCTAATCTATATTAGTATCCAGCGTGGAGTTTACAGATAATGTGGGAATCATTCACTAATAACCTGTAGGGTGAGGCAATAACTCATTGGAGAATACATTGAGAAGTGGTCACGGTACGTCATGAATTGGCAGAAGTTAGAATTTATTGGCTGGTCATTAGATCGGGTCCCAGTAGCTCAATGGTCTACGAGCTGGCTCGCCTTGTAACCAAAAGGCTATGTGTTTGAACCCTGTAACGTGGGTACGTATTGGTAAAGAGTCTCAAACTAGGCTGACGAAACAGCTGGCTGTCCAGTACTCACAGCTAGTTTTCTAATGATCATCTAACTGATGTCAGCTCATGATGAAATCCTTCAACTAATAACTATATCTACATCTGTTCAACCAATTATAGACTTATCAGTTTGTGGTGAGAGCTGGCTGCTAGCCAAAGTTGGTAGACAGTAATTGACGTCACTGTTTATGTCCCCAATATTGGTGGTGAGAAAATGAGAACAAAGGCTTTGCGTAGGCGGATACAGTTAGCATATAGATGATCTGACACAGTCACAAAGAGATGCAGTGGGAAACAACCAATCAAAAGACTGTATTTGTCTGCTAACAATAATCTATAATAATGTGCATTAAAAACTATAAATGTTTAATGATTTCCTTAATAAACGATCTGTTGCCTGGCCCTTGTCTTCTCTTGTTACAAGTTTACTAGTCGAAATCAGCAAAATGAAATTTCAGAAGTTTTAAACCAAACCTAATATCTATCATGTCTGAAGAAGTCAGTGCTAGATTCCAGCTAGAATACCAACATCGACTGAGGTGCAGATGCACTTGGCTGATGAGTTTCCAAGCAGACCGAATCTCAGCCTAGGAATCTGCACAGAAATGCACCCATTCAAGTTGTCACACTTCATATAGCACACAAAGGTAGAGAAGACAGAGTGAAAAATAGAGATTCAGAAGAAAGATAATAAGAATAAGTGTAGGGGGAAAGAATAGTATTATGGTTGCATCTTAACCAATGAGGTTTTTCAGCCATAAGTCCAGCAAGCTGAATCCATTGGTTCTTAGAATTCAGAGATCCCCACCCAGACAGTCTACATCTATGTAAATGATTCAAACCAACCACCACAAACTTCAGGGATTGGTTCCAGAATACTGTTTGGCCCTCCCCAACTGTTTTGCACCCTAATCGCATGTCAGATAACATTGTTTAACAAAGGAAGTGATGGCTTGGTGTGCGCAACTCACCTTCACAACTTCATCGATTGATTTATCCCCCCTTACCTTATTCTCTTTACCGAACCTCAATATTATTCACCATTATGGCATCACTTAACACGGAAGATAGAATGCAGACGTCTGTGATTTAAAGTGGGACGATATTCGATTCGTGAATTTAATTGCTAACCGCATTTATAAAAAAATGATTAACATATCTATATGATGTACACAACAATACAAAGCAATATCTTCAACAATGCTGGAGAGAGAGAGAGAGATATGCACAAATCATTTGAAGTGAACTTACCTCATCCGAATAAGGCGGTTGAGTGAGATCAATACCTTCTGCTTTCAATTTCTTCTTTAGCATATGTCTAGCTAAATGTATATGTTGAATGTAGATATTTCTTGTATTATCATGCCCTATTGATTGCATAGAATTAGATATTTGCTGTTGTTGATGCTGGGGATGATTATGATAAGGTTGAGGTGGCTGCGGTGGCTGAGGCTGTGGCTGAAGTTGCGGTTGAGACGGATGATACTGTTGAAAAGATGGTGTAGGCGGAAGTGGAAGTGACGGTGGATGACTTGTCTGTGAATACTGTACAAAATAGCCTTGTGTTGAAGCAACTGGTGGTGGTGGTGGTGGGAGTGGTGATGCCAACTGTATCGGGATTTGATGATAGTTCGATAGATTCGATTCTTGTATTTGTTGTTGTTGTTTCTGTTGTCTTGGTGAGGATAGGAATCTTTCATCAATTTTTACAGTTTTTGGTGTTGTTGATGAAGAACGTTTCATACTGTCAGAACATCTAGCATCTGAATGATTGTCTCTTGGTAATCGTCCATTGCGTAGGATACTTACAGGGTGCTTCTGAAAGAGAATAAACGTATTTTAAAGACTTGGTTACGGGTTGACGTCGTACAGAAAACGACTGCAAATACCACAGCATTAGACAATATAATTCGTATAAGTGCTACTTATACTGTAATAGCTGTACTCGAGATGATGTTACCTTTCGGATATACCACTTAGCTTCTAAATTTTGTGATTCTTTACTTTCCCAGTGGAACATACGGCTTCGAGATAGACGCCTGAAGTTTCACTAGCAGTTGTATGTTTATTTTTACAGGATGAGACTGCCAGCCTCATGCCCAGCATTCCCTATTTATCAGTCTTATAATCGGCTCAGGGAGGTAAAGGTGTGCCTCGTCGGCCGGGGATCGAACGCCGAACCACCAGTGTGGTTGGTGAGCATAATAACACTATGCCACTGACGCACTAGATTGTAAATAGGTGGACGAAATTCAGTGAGAACATGAAGAAGTTAATTGGTGGATGTTGACTAGCATTGGAATCCAGCACAACGCACATTTCGTCCCACTTGGGACTCGTCATCTGGATGTACCCGCATTACGCATTGAGTGATGATGTTTCCACCGAGTCTCGAACCCAGTGCCCATAGTTCCGAACGCCAAGGCGCTATCCACCAGAGCAGTTAGGACAAGAGAGCCACCTGGATTCCACTGCTAGTAAATGACGCTTTAGCGTTTGAAACTATGGGCACTGAGTTCCAGCCTCGGTGAGAACATCATCACTCACTTGGGAATGCAGGTACATCCAGCCCCCAACGAGTCCCAAACAGGACGAAATGCACGTTATCCTGGATTCCACTGCTGGTCACCATCCACCAATTAACTTCTAATTACATGCCCAGACATCATCGAAGCATCTGCACAAGAAGTCGACATGTCAACCTGAGACGGAGACTGGAAATTTTATAACTACAGAATGTTCATATCCTCGAGTGTTCGTTTGTACACATTTGATTGGTTTCAATAATGATCATGGCTTGGTATCAGTTAGAAACCCATTGAAAACTAAAGAGCCCTAGTTACTGATACCCACACAGAAAGGTTCGAACCCAGGAAATTCCGGTTACAACATGTGCTCATTGAACATTCAGCCACTAAGACAAAATCCAATGGTTCATGGATTAGCGATAAATACGTATCTGTCATTGACGAGTATCTTCTTCCACACACATAACACAATGGGCTCCACTGTTCACGGCTTCTAAATGGAACTCCAAGTAACTTCATCATGAAGTCATTCACTAGCAAGCATCAAACTAATTTACTTTTAGTTTCCAATAATTTGATCAGTGTGAAAACCATGGAGTACTAGACAGCTGTTTCGTCCTTTTTTGCAACTCTTCATCAATATGCACCCATTGACATTCATCAAGTCAGGTAAATGAACAATTACTCAACGATGACACTGGCTAGTGGTCACGCTGTATATCGCAGACTAACAGAAGTTAGGAATGATTACCTGTTGGACTTCATCTCGGCTGCTGAATGTTTCATTTCTTGATCTTTGATAAGATCATGATTAAGTGTTGCTGAAGAGTCCCAAACTATCGGGACGAAACAGCCGTCCAGTACTTTGTGGTAGATTTTAATGCTTTCTTGAACTGAAATTAGTCAGCTGGTGATTAAAAAGTCAAGGAACATAACAGCTGGATGATAAGCGTGCAGCTTAGTAGTTGGACCACAGTAACTTAGCTAGCTAATATTACTACTTAATGGTCAGTCAGTCAGTAGTATATGCTTCGTAGTTATGATGGAATTAAACACAAAACTTACTGATTGACAATGAATTTCATTCGGTGCATTTGATGCTGTCAAATGAAAAACAGAAAAACAGATTTTTCATTAAATTTCACAGTACAAATAAATATACATTTCAATATAGAAAAAATCCCCATTAAGACATTTAGAAAACAGAAAGACTGAGCAGCGAAGAAATATTTACTTTTCAATTAGATCCTCATCTCTGGCTCTACTCTAATATATATCCGTAGCATTTTTATTACAATACACAACAGTTTACCAATCAAATGGCACTGATATGTTTGTTAACAATAACAGGTCAGTGTCAACATGTCAATGCGATGGGTGATAATTAACGCAGAAAATCAATACACACAATTAAAAGGTAGAAATGGTTAGAATAAATTAATTTTACAAGGATAACACGTAATTAAAGATGAAGTGGTCAAAATAAATAAAATAATTTGGACAATTATAATTTTTATACTTTTAAAAGGTTTAGGGGGAGGTGGGCGAAGTAGTCCGGTTTATACAGTCATGTAACGATTGCCTAGGCAAGGAAAGTGGCTGTACAAATTTCTTCTGAACACACAGGTTTGGCCTCTTCTTCAGTTGGATTCCTATTGCTGTAGCTGTAGGTGTATAGAAGACGAACTCGTAGAGCAAAATTAAGATTAGTAGGAATGCGATAAATAATTTTAAATGCAGTATTAACATCAACCCTATGCTCACTATCTACAAGGTGTGCTACAACAGAGCTACGAGTAGATCTTGTTTGTCCCTTGCTTAACCATGTTGGATGATGTTGGGATATACGACGATGAACCTGCCTAATTGTGCGCCCAATGTCCAAATGATTTTATTTTTCTGACCACTTCATCTTTAATTACGTGTTATCCTTGTAAAATTAATTTATTCTAACCATTCCTACCTTTTAATTGTGTGTATTGATTTTCTTCGTTAATTATCACCCATCGCATTGACATGTTGACACTGACTAATTATTGTTAACAAGCCTATCAGTGCCACTTGATTGGTAAACTGTTGTGTATTGTAATAAAAATGCTATGGATATATATATTAGAGTAGAGGCAGAGTGAGATGAGGATCTGATTGAAAAGTAAATATTTCTTCGCTGCTCAGTCTTTCTGTTTTCTAAATATACTTTTACAAATTTCACTGTTCGAGGAGAAATTCCATGACAATATTATTCGGGAACTGATCACAATGTGTATTTGATCTGCTTGGCATCATAGTGATATGATTCTATACACTACAAGTGGTGTGAATCAAACCGTTCACAAACGAGCGGGAGTGGCTTCTGGTTGTTTATATCTCTCAAATCTCGCTAGCATGCAAACACTATGTCCCCATTAAATTGCAATTTCATGAATGGTTGTTTCTTTTTCACTGTTGTCTGTTCCGCTTTATTGTACCTGGTGTTCATGTGTCTCCTTACAAATATACTAGGATAACCTATTTGGACCAGCGTATTTTGGATGTATCTTAACTCATTTTCTAGGGAGTCATCTGTACAGTTACGTCTTCCTCTATTCGTCAGGCATCTGACCAAATTGATTTTGTATCGGATTTGTACAAAACTGAGGAAGTGTGTATATTGTCCTACAGATGTAGGTTTTCTATAGACATCTCTCTTGAGTGAACCATCCTCTCTTCGGTTCATTTGGAAGTCAAAGAAATGGTCTGATGCCTCTCGAATAGAGGAAGATGTATCTGTTTAGATTACTCCCTAGAAAATGAGTTAGGATACATCCGAAATGCGCTGGTCCAAATGGATTATCCGTACACCAGGTACAATAAAGCGAAACTGACAACAGTGAAACATAAACAACCGTTCATGAAATTGCAATTTAATGGGGACGTGACTAGCAAAGTTTTACATCTGAGATTATCGAGAGCGACAAAACAGACTTATACTGCCGCCACCCTTTGTTTGTCATTTTCCAGCTGCCGACCAATTATGATTGCTCAAGTGAAAGACAAGCTAGCTGTGCCACTTCTATGGGCATCTACAAATTTAGTTGCTCCTGTGGAGAGAGCGGCTAGACAGCTTAACAAACGCATTAATGAGCATCTTCCTTCATGGTTCGAAAAAAATCAAATAAAATCTATAAGAAGTTCTATCTTGGCTAATTTGATTGATAGCGGTCACTAAGTGGACAAAAATAGTGCTTTCAATGTTATCTGTCGCATTTCAACGAGCCTTTCGAACGGAATTCGAACCCGTCTTTTACATATAGCCGAAGCTATGGGAATTCGAGAGAACAATCCTAGTCTTTACATACAACAAAAGAACTTTGTCCTACCTTTGTCTTTCCCTTGGCCTAGGTGAATTCTAATCAAAACCCTCCCACCCTTTCTTATTTTTTATCTCCGTATTTTTCATGATATTTATTTAAACCCTGATTATTTGTCCACTTCACCTTTAGTATTACGTAACTTTTAAAATTTCACCTAATTTATTTATTGAATTGTCTACACAAACACCTTCGCTATTTTTATCGCCACCTGCATAAACCTTATTATCAATATTTTGTTATCATTATAATCATCGTTATTAACTAAGTTGAAAACATTTACCACATTATTATTATTATTTGATAAGAATATGAATCAAAAGTCAATGCAGGCTACAGTAGCAATAGTTCTAAAGAAGGCCTTGTTCTTACAACTTCAGCACCTCGGTGATGATAACATCAATGAGATATTAACACAACGGCTGTGGAATACGGCAGTAGAAGGAGCACTCAGTGGTGCTGAATTATGCCGTGTCTTCAAAATCACCCCCATTTTGAGTTCGGGTGTTAAAGATAAACTATAATAAAGGTTTTTGTATTTCCCAATGAATAAAAAACAAAACGATATTGTTCCTTTTACTGACGTTTCGCTATTTAATGCTAGTAGCTTTATCAAAGTATTATTAAACCGGAATTTACAAAATCTCAGCACATGTATATATCATTCAGCCACTGGGACCCGATTCAATGGCTCATGAATTCTAACTTCTACCGATTCGTGATTTTAGCGCGACCCCAACTATTGTCGTTGGTGGAAATCCATCCACATGTGACTTCTAATTGGACCTCACTGGTCACGACTTCTCACTAGAACTGCAGGAAGCTCCAACCTGTAGCAAGTCACTAGCGAGCATCAGAATAATTTTCTATAGTTTGGTTTGTAAGGATTGGTTATGTTTTTTACGAGTTGATCACGGACTGATATCAGTTAGAGAACCATTGAAAACCAGGGAGTACCGGACAGCTGCTGATGCTCGCTAGTGACTTGCTACAGGTTGGAGCTTCCTGCAGTTCTAGTGAGAAGTCGTGACCAGTGAGGTCCAATTAGAAGTCACATGTGGATGGATTTCCACCAACGACAATAGTTGGGGTCGCGCTAAAATCGCGAATTGGTAGAAGTTAGAATTCATGAGCCATTGAATCGGGTCCCAGTGGCTGAATGGTATACGAGCTTGCCTTGTAACCGGAAGGTCCCGGGTTCGAATCCCAGTGGGTGCGTACTGCCGATGATTCCCAGACTAGGATGAAACAGCAGCTGTCCAGTACTCCCTGGTTTTCAATGGTTCTCTAACTGATATCAGTCCGTGATCAACTCGTAAAAAACATAACCAATCCTTACAAACCAAACTATAGAAAACATGTATATATAACAAAGAGTTAAGAGGTGAGAAAATAGACTTAGGTCAAGTTAAAAGGACATACTGAAAGTCAAAATAACAATGAAGGTCACTAAACTAAATAACAAAGCACGGAATATACACATTTGATCGCTGCAACTGTCTTTTTATTCCCTATAAGTAGCAAAGGTAATAGTACATCTGTTATGTTATCAAAACGAAGTTTACTAGCTTGATCATCGTTCATCAGTCTGAGGTCATTTTTCGTTGTAAGTTGGTCAATTGGTAAAGATAACAAAACCAAATGTTGGATTGTTGGATCACAAAGAACGTCTAATATCATCGGAAGCACTTCATGTCAAGTGGAATCCAAATTGCCTGAATAGGAATGATGGAAAAAAACAGAATCTGACCTGGTTAGAACACCCCCCTCCTCCATGAAGTGACGAAATCAACACGAATGTGATATGCAAGTTCACTATGTAAACACACACTGCTTTTATAATCCAACAATCTACACTTGGTTTTGTTATCTTTACCAATTGACCAACTTACAACGAAAAATGACCTCAGACTGATGAACGATGATCAAGCTAGTAAACTTCGTTTTGATAACATAACAGATGTACTATTACCTTTGCTACTTATAGGGAATAAAAAGACAGTTGCAGCGATCAAATGTGTATATTCCGTGCTTTGTTATTTAGTTTAGTGATCTTCATTGTTATTTTGACTTTCAGTATGTCCTTTTAACTTGACCTAAGTCTATTTTCTCACCTCTTAACTCTTTGTTATATATACATGTGCTGAGATTTTGTAAATTCCGGTTTAATAATACTTTGATAAAGCTATTAGCATTAAATAGCGAAACGTCAGTAAAAACAATATCGTTTTGGTTTTCATTCATTGGGAAATACAAAAACCTTTATTATAGTAATGAATATCATATACCCAATGCCCAAATTTTTGCAAACTGTTAAAAGTGAACTTGGTTTGGAAATATGTAAAGATAAACTACTTAATTCCACCTCTTCCATGTTTATCCACGAATGTGACTACTCCTGTGGAGCCAGTTAGTCGCATAGGCCGTACAATTAGGCGTGTTTCTCGTCGAATTTCTGGACACCGTACTGCGTGGTTGGTTAATTAAAGGACAAACAAAGTCCATTCATAGTTCTATACTGTCTCATCTCGTGGATACAAAAAAGGAAAATTGACGTTCATGAGGCTTTCAAAGTCATCTACCGCATACCAACTAATCTTAACTTCACCTTAAGAGTTCTTCTACTGCATATTGCTGAGGTTATCCGAATCCACATTAAGAAGCTTAATCTATGTATCCAAAAGAGGTTGTTTCAGTCGCTTTCCTTACTTCGGCTATCAAGGTTCTAATGATCCTGAGTTTGTTGGAGAAATTTCCTTAATTTTATTTGATATTCTATTTGCTATTACATTTTTATGCTTATTATTATTATCGCTTGAATTGTAATTTCTTTGATCTTAACAAATTAATTGTCTACAAGTTCTCAGCTGAAGTCCATTGATAAATTTATTGCTTCTCAATATTTTCTTTTTCATCCATTTGCGTTTCAAACAGAAATTAGGGATTCCATCTGTAAAGTTTCAGCAGCCGTAGTGTTATTATATTTCATCAGGTAGGGTTGGTAACCGCACAACCAGTCATTCTTCTCTTTTTAACTAACTGTCGCCAAGTAAACTAGTCGAGGTTTAGCATTGAGTCGATCGGGAACCAAACCTGGACCAGGTGTATGCTTAGTGAGCATTCTATCACAGAACCACTGACGCAAAAAAGGTCCAGATCTCAGAACGTTTTCAACAACACTAACTTATAACTTACCATTTTGATGAAATGTCTTATCCGTCGGATTCATGCAAACAATTTGATGATTGGGATGTAGTGTTTGTGAAACATGTTTATACGCTTTCATATCTTCGTAGGGATTTATTCTAGCTGGTGAATTTTGCGCTGTACTGCATTGTTTACGACCGAAATTCCATCTAAACGGGAAAAGAGGTTAAAGGCAGAATAAATAGTGAACACTGGTCAAAAATAAACTGTTATACTTCTTTGGAAAGGGACTAAGTATCCACTGAGCGTCTGTAGTTCAATGAAATATTATTCAAGGACCACCGTAGAGGTGTGGGTTCGACTCCATCATGCTTAATAGTCGATAGTAAGACTGGCAAAAGAAGGAAGGTTGGGTTAACGTAAGGCAAGCAACTCTCCTCTATAAAAACAAAATTACCGCTATTAAAACTTCAAAATCTTCACTCGGAAGTCAAAGAAAGCAGTCCAGTCAATACGACTAGCCATCCAGGAGTAGAAAAGTTTGAAACTATTGAGCAGGTCGACCAAAAATTAAAACCGAAGGCAACAATTCGAATTTTACTTTATCTCATGATCTCAGAGATTTAAAAACTCATTACATACAGCTTAAGTTAATAAAGACGTCAGTAGGCCGTTTGGTTTGTGGTTGACTTCTTGTAGATGTACCACAGACACTTTGATAGGTTACCGGACACTAATCAATATCACACCTTCAAAATAAACATTGCCTGACCTCCAGTGGACTGAGCAAGAAGACGATCATACTTTGAAGTAGGCGAGAAGAACCTAGAAGATTTGAACTTCTCGTTTCACATAATTTCGAGGATAGATAGGCAGAGGTATAAGTGAGGATCGGAAAGGCAAAACAGGCTTTCATTAATCTGAAATCAATGTGGAAATCTGCTGCACTCAGCATCAGGACTAAGATTCGGACTTCCAACTCTAACGTTACCACATCAGGTGCTTCTATAAGGTTCAGAAAATTTGCACGTCACTGAAAGCATTTCCATCAGGAATCTACTGAAGACTTTTACCACCAGCTGCCTTAAATGATTTCAAACTGAAGAATAGGTGACCAGAGGGGATTAGCAACAAGGAACTTTAGGGAAAAAAAGTTTTCAAGGACCAATTACCCCACAAATCAACAGAAAGAAATTCGAGATGGATCAACAAAACGCTTAAAAGACACATATTAATATCGCTTAAAAGACTGTTGAGAGACATGACGCACCAGACAGGCACTTTAATGGGACCCGAATGGGAAACGACAAGTTGGTCGTCAGTTACAGGGTGACATAGAGGAAATCGTGTGATGAAATTCTTGGAGGTAGGTACACAGGACTGTGAAGAATATGATAAAATGATGATTTGGGATCACACAAACACATTATACAAATCAACGGAGAGTCAGCTGCACGACACATCACCCGGTAACAGTGTATTCGGTTGAAATGAGTTTGAGTTATCGATAGAGCATAATGCTTCTTTAATAAGCATTAAACATATGCATAAACGAGAATGCCGATTTGTTAACCACTCAATGTGAAGAAATCTCACTAATCTACCGATTGGAAACCATTTTTTTAACTGAAAGCGCTGCGTGTAAACAAGTGTACATGTATCTCCTGTAATCGTTGCATTAAGAGAAGAGAAAGAAGGCTGCGCCTTAGATTATGTAGAAATGTATCTGTAGATCTACGTCTCAAGGGAAAAAATGCTTTCAGAAGGGCTACTGAAAGGTATCCCGTTAATACGGACCATAGGGGTGACTGAATTCTCTTAAATTTTGTCGAAGTGACTCCTATCGAACGCATATTTAGAAAAAAAGTAGTCAACAGTCATATTTTTTTATTTTAACCGCTTCCTATTTGTTACGATGCAATTTTGTTAGTCTTTTGTTTCTATGATCAGAGTTGGACTCTCTAAGTTGTTACGCAGTTTATCAGTTACTCCTCTCCAACTTGGATGCCACTTCCCTCACCCAATAATGCTTGATATCCAGTCAGATCGAAGGGATCCAAACACAACTGGAAAGCCGTTTCACTGGTTTGATGATCAATTCACCAGTGGTGAACCCGAATTAACTCAACTTAACTTGAAAATTGATCTGATGCTCACTAGTGACTGGCCCTATTCAGGTAGGCAGTTACCTGAGCTTCTATTTGGAAGCCGTGACCAGTAGGGTACAGCAGGTTGAAGGTGAAGCAGTAATTCATCGAAGAAGATATATGCGAAGTGTTCGCCCTATGTCATGAATTAGCAGGTGCTAGAATTCATGAAATGGCTATTGGATCGGGTCCCATTGACTTAATGGTCTACGAGCTCACTAGCCTTGAAGCCAGAAGGTTCTGGGTTCGAGCCCAGTGGTGTGGGTGCGTACTGCTGACGAAACATGTAGCTGCCCAGCACTCCCAGCTGGTTTCTCCATGGTTCTCTAACTTATGTCAGCTCATTATTAAATCCTCCGACCCCATCAACTCAAACAGCTGAATTAGTTCAAACCAATCGAGTTCTAGCTAGGTGCTTAGGCGAACTAGAAATGCACCGAATCAAATTCACGATTGGCAAATCACACAGTTCTCAGTGAAATTTCAACACGTTTTTTTCTCTGGAAACCTTAGTTTTTCAGATATTAATATAATAAAATAATTGTTTTCGAAGGTCTCATCATAACAGAAATGTAGGGTTGGCTCCATTAAGACCTAAGACAATTACTGTTATTGTATCGGTGGGGAATCTTTTACTGCCGGTTGAAGGCTTTTCTTAACAGTAAGACTTTTTACTCATACCCTCTATTCTGACTTCTCACCATGAGGTTGAGGAGTTACAGAAGGTCACGCTGAAAGTTTGTACATCTTATCATACTGATCAGTTTTCTGACAGCAGGTTTTAAGGCCGTACATGCGAATTAAGCTCAAAAGTTTCTGGAACTCCAATCAGGTTCTACTAAACTGACGTGAATCAAATATCCCTTATACTATTGGATTGTGCAACACTAGATTATTTCTCCTTTTAGCAACATCAAAAAAAACAAAGCCCCAATATGCTTGAAATATGGAATTACCAAACTCTAGCGGACCTCTATCATCATGCAAATAGTTCAGAATAGTTTATGTCGCTGGTTGGATCTTTGATACATAAATAGTTCACCCAAGTAGCAAACCAAAATTCCGGTGCTTTGAAATGATTCAGCCCCCTGAGTTGAGTCAAATTGGGTAAACAACTGATGACCTTGACCCTCAATTCGGCAAAACGGTCGGTTGGTGAAGATTAGATGAATTTGGTTTGGCTGGATATCAAGCACTACTGGCTGATGTCAGTAGCTCATGGCAATCAATCAAACAAGAAACCGTTTGTTAGACGACGCCACCAGAAATTTCAGTAATACTACTTTACTACTCGAAAGTAATATGAATTATTACCAATAAAAATATGCTTACCTTTGTTGATTTTGATCAGAATATTGGGGTTCACATGATGCAGCTGCTTGAAAATGACCTGTTGCTGCCGCTGATGATGATGTTGTCGGCTCAATAGGATGCTTAAAAACACCCATAGTTTGAGGTTTGTAGGATAGATATGAACTACCAATATCTGTTCCACTGGATATACCAGAATCATGTATATTCTGAGGATCTGATAGATCGGTTGAATTCTTTTCAATTGGTTTATTCAGAGTTTTATGAAATAAGGAAGGATCTAATTTTGTTATTGTTCCAAAATCGTATTGAAGGCGGAAGCAGGGTGGAGTAAAAGAAACAAATTGATTTTTGGGATTAAAAAATTTTAAGAAAAAATATGAACATGGCATAGTGAGTTGGATTTCTAAGTACATTGTATTCTTTTCATTATAATTTTATCATTTAAAAATGAGAACAAAACACGTAGTTCAACGAAGAGTCTCTTTTGGGCGAATTCATTTGCTTGGTTGACAATAGTGATGACCCCAATCTATTGCTGCCGAAATTTAACTGTTGTCATTTAATCTTGAAATGGAAAACGAATCAAAAACTGCCTTCCTTGATGTGGAACTAACAAGAAAAACTGATGGGACCTTAAGAAGATCAATCCATAGGAAAGCTACTTGGAATGGTTAACTAACAAGCTTCTATAGCTGGGGATACCATTCAACAAAAGTGGTATTTGATTTAATCCCTTGCCACCCACACCGACGCATCTGTACTCCCAACGTTTTGGAAACAGAATTTGATCCTTTGAGAGAAATCCTTATCCAAAATGGATACTCACCAAGATTTATTAATAATAATGTCAAACCAAGAATTTGGAGAAATGAAACTTCATTTGGATTTCAAGGGGGATTTAACAGGCAATATTCTCAAGAGAAGAATCACAATATATCCGAGAAGAACATTATTTGTGGTAACGCTAAGAATAGTATTTTCCAGTTGCCCGCTGATCTGCAGAAGCCTTAAGGACAATATCCCGCATCTGGCCACCTCTATGAGCATTTATCAGTTCATCTGCTGCTGTGGAGCCAAGTACATCGGCCGTTCGATGCGCATCTTGTCCAAGAGGATTCAAGAACACTAACCAGCATGGTTGCGAAAAGGCGATAGTGGTGCAATAAGGAGTGCGATAATCGAACATCCGGTTAACACTGATCATTCCATCTAAACAAATGCCTCCTTCAAAGTAATCTACAGAGTCAAGAATAACCTATCAAAGGCAACACGGTTTCGTCTTCTTTGTATCGCTGAAGCTCTGGCCATTCACACAGAAAAACCGGAACTGTGCATACAAAAGAGAATTACTCAACCACTTCTATTATCATGGTAAAAACTTTGTTGATTTTGATGACTTAATTTTGCTTGTTTGCCTGTTTCTTTAATTACTTATAATTCTTGTATTCATTTAGAACACTTACGTGATTTCATATTCTCTGCTTTGTTTCTATGTGCATCCTGAATACAACCCAATCATCAAACTACTCGTATTATTACATAACTCCTTTTTAAAAACTGTTTGTGACAACTTGTCACCTTTGTTACTACACTAGTTTGATTAACACCCAATTTTCTTGACTGCTTTTGTATAACTTAAATTCACGCCTGTTTAGTTAAAATAACCATAACCAATGGTATATTTGTTTGACAAAATGAATGTACAGATACATACATTATTATTTTTGTTTCCTTTAATTTCTGGAAGAACAAAGGGCTTCAGCCGCACGTCTCCATTAAGTTCGGTTCTACACCAACGTTTTCACCTGCCTTTACATCTGCCCACATGCTTTCATCTCCTCTTCGCACGACCTCCTCCATGTTTTCACCCTCACACTGATGACGAACTCGCCAATTCTCATTTGGGTTCCACTCGAGCGATATGCCTGGCGTGTGATGTCACTCACTTGATACTTTGTTTTCTCAGAGTATGACCAATCCACCTCCATTTCTTCCCGCATATTTGTTGCGCAACTGATTCCTGTTTGGTTCGCTCCCACATATAACTCCCTGTTTCTCATCGTCTCTGGCCATCTGGTCTGGAGTAGTATTGAGTGAAGACAGCTGTTGATGAAAGCCTTTAATTTGTTCGAAGTGTTCTTCGTGATGCATAGCCAAATCTCTCATCAGTATATTAAGTAGCACTGACTTCACATTAAAGCTGAAAATCCGGAACTTATTTTTTATGCTAAGTGCTGTTGACCTCCACACAGACTTGAGAGTAATGAAGGCTTGCCTCGCTTTCCCGATCCTCGTTTTTAATATCCTCATCAGTTCCGTCCACCTGTAGTTGAAACGATGCTTCCAAGGTCAGTCGGTAGGTCAAAGAGGTTGCTTCTTTCAGACTTCTCCCATTCATATTGACTGTTGTCTGTTGTTGTTGCTGTTCCTCGCGGCCAGGAATTTTCATCACCTACGTCTGTTTTCTCTATGTACACCCGTCTTTGATGCTTCCTAAGCCACCTTGTTACTTTTCATTCTCATATCTTCCAGTTTGTGGGAAATCAGACATATATCATCGGTGATGAAACATAGTTTCATCCAATGAAACTATATGGTTCTTCGATATTACTATTCTTTTTGCCTCACAATTCTCTGTTTATTGTCTCTCTTTTGCATTTCTTTTTACTTTCCTCCCTTGCTTTGTGTGCTACATGTGAGGAGTGTGGCGACTTGAACTGCTGCACATCGGTGCAAAGTTCTACGTTGAAACCAGTCAGTTAGTCAATCAGTCAGTCAGTTTCATTTGGAATAGCATCATCACTCGCAGGGGATCGCAGATACATCCAGCTGACTAGGAAGAAATAGGACGAAATGAACCTCCTAGATCCCACCGCTAGTCCTTCAAGTAACATCATGTTAGTCCTAAAACATCGTCGAAACATCTAAAATACTAGGCGTGGATATATCAATAGTTATCCAGTATTCCAGTCAAATGTAATAAATCAATTAACGGGAGGTATAAAATTCACTTAGGAGCAAAATTCCATTCTGTAGCTCTTTTCTGCTCGTGTTTCGCGACAATATTTTCAAAAGAAAAGAAAAAGGCGACTATATTGAATGCGAAAATATTTTTTTAGCTTCATAAACTTACTTAACCATGAATCAGTTAACAGTTGAGCAGCAGTCATCAGTGTTGCTCTAGTCTCCGCGTCTGTTACACCCATTTCAATGAGTTCATTTCTAGTCAGCCGACTTAATCGTTTAACATCTGCAACACCATGTTCTAATAAACACGGCCAAACAGACTGAAAAATAAGTGATGAAAATTTTAAAAAATAAATTAGAAAAACAATATTCAAGTATTGGTTATTTTTGTAGGGATTTTGTTTGATTGATTAGTTGGAGGATTTCATCATGAGCTGATATCAGTTAGAGAACCATTGGAAAACTGGTCAAGTAGTACTGGACAGCCAGCTGTTTCGTCAGCCTAGTTTGAGACTACACAGTATGCACCTTATTCAGGCAGTCAGCCAGGGGTTTTAGTAGAAAGCCGTGACCAGTAGAGTACAACAAGTTGAAGGTGAGGCAGTAACTCATTGAAGAAGACATTGTGAAGTGGTCGCGCTATGTCATGAATTGGCAGAAGTTGGAGTTCATGGGCCGGCCATTGGATGCGGTCCCAGTGGCTTAACGCTCTACAAGCTAGCTAGCCTTGTAACCAGAAGGTCCTGGGTTCGAACCCTGATGGTGTGGGTGCGTACTGAGGAAAAGTCCTAAGCTGACTGACAAAACAGCTTTCCACTACTCTCTGCAGATTTTCCAATGGTTGTCTGACTGATATCAGCTCATGATGAAATCTTCCAACCAAAAAAACAATATTGTTATTTGAAAAAGCACAATTTGAGTAGTAAAGGTGTGAAATATGTTACTGGTAAGAATTCGTATCAATTACTATCAAAAGTAAATGAAGCAACTTCTTTCATTCACTTAGGCAGCATTGTTTCAAGTGTAGGCGGCTCCTATCAGAATTTCAAAATCAATCGGAATTGAGAAGATAAGACTGACGGGCATTTGTGTTCTCTGAGCTGGTTAGTTTAATTGCGGAGCTTTCGTCTTCCTCCTTCTAGACAACATCTTCAGTTCGGCGCAAGTTTTAGCATAAAATGAAGTGATTTAGATTCTCCATGAATGATAGAATTGCGTCTCCTGGTAACCATCTTCGTGACTGGTTGTCGATTTACACCTGTATTGATCATTTTTTATTGACTAGGAATTCGGACTCCCTCGTCACATGATTTACTTTTTATTAGTTGGTATATTTTGGAGTATTTCAACATGTCTGTTAATCGCACATTCGATTGAGTGCCAGGGTTCTAGGAATTCCGTGACTGCGATTTTGGTGTTTCTTATGTTTAAAATTTCGACATTATCCCAATCGAATTGATGTCCATAATTATCTGTAAGCATTGATATGAAAGAATATATATTGTAACGACAGAAGACAAGGGCCAGGCAACAGATCATTTATTAGGAAAATCAACAGATATTTATGTACATTATTACTAGCGATATTGTCAGCAACGTCTTCTGATTGGTTGTTTTCTTGCTGAAGGTTATTCTACACTGCTTGTGACTGTTTCTCAGAAAGTTAAGCCATATATCTGCGAATCATATTTGCACACATTAAGTCTGTTGTGATTGGTTGGTGAGTTCCTCAAAGTTAGGCTTAGCTGTTGTTTTTTCTCATGACCCTGATTACTGTCTACAATTTTGGCTTGCAGACAGCTCCCACCACAATATCATCTCATTTTACAGCTAATTTGTGTTCCTGGATTCGGATTCGAAGGGGACGCCTACTTTGTTGACCGATGTAATGTCTGTTACAGTTCATACAATTTATTTTGTAAATGATATTAATTTCGCCTTCTTTTTCTGTTGGATGGCTTTTTTTGGTTTGCACAATATCGATTGAAGACATTTGATGCTTCGAAATCAGTGTGAAAATCTACTGTACTTAGCGGTAGGGATCAGATCCGGACCTTCGATAGTGCTATTAAGTCGATCAGTGCTTCCATAAGGTTCATAGTCACGACAAATATTTCGAACAGGCTGAAGACTTTTATCAGCGCTTAAGTTACCTTGTAAGAAAGGATACTTATTCAAACTGCCAAAGAAAGGAGATTTAAGTCAATGCAAGAACTGGCGCGGCATTATGCTCCTGTCTATCCCAAGAAAAATACTAAGCCGCATCATCCTGGAGAGAATCAAACATGCCAACCTGGATAAAAACTTCTACCGGAACAGGCTGGATTCAGGAGAAACAAGTCATTTATTGATCAAATCGCCACACTACGGATCATCATTGAACAGAGTTTGGAATGGCAGTTAGCTCTCTAACTCAACTTCATTGACTTTAAAGGGGTCTTCGACAGAGTTGATCGAAAGGTGATTTGGAAACTACTTCGCTACTATTGGGTGCCACCAATAATTATGCACCTCATCCAGCAGTCGTGTGACAATGCTGCATGCCTAGTAATCTATAACGGGAAACTTACGGAATCCTTCGAAGTGAAGACGAGAGTAAGACAAGCTGGCTGCCTACTATCTCCAGTGATTTTCCTGATTGCGGGCGGTAGATTGGATAATGTGATAGACAGCGGGGAGTGGGGACCCTCACGAAAAACTTGGAGGATCTGGACCTCGCCGACGACATATATGTCTGATTTCCCACAAACTGGAAAATATGCAAGTGAGAAGCAACAAGTTGGCAGAAGAAGTATCAAAGATAGGACTGCATATAAACATACAGAAAACACAGGTGATGAAAATTCCTGGCCAACAGCAACAGCAACAACAACAGACAACAGTGAGCATAAGTGGGAAGCATCGTTTCAAATACAGGCGGAACTGAAGAGGATACCAAAGCAAGACAAGTCTTCATTACTCTCATGTCTATGTGGAGGTCAACACTCAGCACTCAGAATGAAAAATAAGATCTGGTTTTCAACTCCAATGTAAAGTCAGTGCTACTATACGGATCAGAGACTTGGCGCGTCATAAAGAACACCTCAGACAAACTACACACCTTCATCAACAGCTAGCTGTCTTCACTCAGTGCTACTCAAGATCAAATAGCCGGCCAGAAACGATCAGCAACAGGGATCTGTGGGAGCGAACCAACCAGGAACCGACTGTGAAACAAATAAGCAGGAAGAAATGTAGGTGGATTGGATTATGGCCATACTCTGAGGAAACCATCAAGTGACATCACTAGACAAGCCATTGCTCGAGTGGAACCTGGCCGAACTGGAAGCAGCGAGTTGGTCGTCAGTGCAAGGGTGACTTGGAGGAGGTCATGTGAAGAGTAGTTGAAAGCATGTGGGCAGACCTGGAGCCAGGTGAAAAGGTTGGCAGAGAACCGAACGCAATGGAGACGTGTGGCTGGAGCCCTATGTTCCTCTAGGAATTAAGGGAAATAATAAGTTACCTTTACCCTACACTGAAGATCAGATGACTAAAGATGATTAGCAGCAGGGAACTCTGGTGAAGAACCACATACAGGAGCCTATCACCCAACAAATATGCGCAATTAAGTGGAGATTGATTCGACATACGATGAAGGGATAGTTGACCGATAATACGCTGCAGACAGTCCCTTGGATAGAACTCCGCAAATGGGAAACGACAAATTCAGCATCACTTCGAATAAGATACCAAGGCAGTCATGTGAGGAGGAAAAGAAAGCTTATGGCCGCCAATCGTGTAGCCAAATAAAGAGGACTGCATAGAACACAGTGAAATAGCAAAGTACTGCTAGGGTCCTATCCTATTGTTTCATTCGGAACCAGAGTTTTAAACTGAATGCATGGTGCCCGAATGAAAAAGAAATCAAAAGATGCGTAACTTTTTATGCTATTCACAAAGTAGTCAAGAAGCTGAAGAAAGAGGCTTTTTTCCAAATTCGGCTTAGTCCTACATGAATCGTGAGTGTATGCATTGCTAAACGTTGATAACTATGATGCTGTGACAGCTGTTCAGTGTTGGTACAATGAAAGTCAAGTCGTCAACGAGCTCGCCTCGTAACGTTAAATCCCTGAGCTCCGTCCCCAGTGGCATCTTGCGTGCGTACTGCTGAAAAGTTCCGAAGTAGGACGCGGTGGCTTTCCGGTGCTTCCTCGTTTTCAGTGGTTCTGTATTTTAATGTATTACGTTGTCTTGATTTCTCATTTCTCCTCTGTTCTCTGATTAGCTGGCCCTACGATTATCTCCCCCCGCCCCTGACACGATCCCCTCCACGTCACCTTCAGACGCTCAACTTGTCGCTTCCCATCTGGGTTCCATTCGATGTCCTGGAATGTGGTGTTACTTAAAAGTATCCTTAACGTACATCCTAATCATCTCTACATCTTTCTGCATATTTGTTTGGTTTTACGTGATTCTTCACAGCCTACCAGAGTTACTTGTTACTTATCCTTGCCGGGCGTTCCATCAGGTCTTCACTGTCGACCAGCAGGACAGCTGCTGATGAAATTCTGCAGTAGGTCGTTGCCATCGCTAAATCTCTGAAGCTTAGAAAAGCACCTACCTGACAACAGTACTGAGAAATCTCATCTCCATCCGCATGAAAAGTGCTAATAGGTCCCCACACAGATCCCAAAGTAATGAAAGCCTATCTTGCTTCGTAGATCCCGACTGCCTGCTTTGGTATATTCATCCGTGCTAACTTCCTGTAATTGAAACGATTCTGCTAAGGGTTTATAATTGTTAACAAACAACAAGTTTGACAGTGTATTGACGATCATAAGTTGCGTACTTAATGAACGGTCTGTTTTACTGTATTTTACTCAAAAGCTTGAACAACAAAATGTACGGCCAACTGTTACTACCTTGATATAAGAATAGAACTTGTGCATTGTGGCGATGGAGTGGATAAAATTTATTTTGATAAAGTCTCATAGTGTGTTATACAGTAATATTTACTGATGAACACGTTTCGAGCACAATTTATTACTGCTCATAGTCATCCCAACGTACTACTGAGGTAACTTTCTGACTTCATATATTAAATTCCATTATTTCCGGTATGAGTGATGGGTCATTCCTGTTGCACGTGTTTGGTATAGACTCTATAAGCAAGGATTCAGTAATCAACTTCTCTCTCCACCCAACTACCTATATCACCTTTAAGAATCTTAACTCTGTTCCATCTTATTGTGTGGTTTTGTGTTAATGCATGCAGTGCAATCGCTGAGCTTTTTTCTAAATTACTCATCTGTTTTCGTGGGGTCAACCATTCTAATCTTAGCTAGATTCTTATGTTCTGCCAGTCTGACCTATGTGGTTGACCTCATTCACAGACATTGCTAGGTATTTTTTAAATTATATTATTTTGTTTAATTAGGTCCACCGGGTCTGTTCACCTACAGAGCTTGTCCCCAAGTGAGTTTTTAGGTTTAAATGCCACCCTAATTCCTGCTTTATTCAGAATCCTACGTAGGGAGTGTCTCAGATTTCCCCTCCTTATACGGTAACACTGTAGATGCCTTATATTCTTTCTTATTTATGTTATCATTATTAGTTTCACCATTATTTTTATTTTGCTTTTGACCTTTTCTGATCTTTCAAATGAATTTTACGGGATAGTTACTTAACAACAACGCTTCTATCTGTTTCATTTCATCATTTAGGTATTTTTTGTGCTACTTAGTGCTACCGCTCGGTTTGTTAGACACTTAACCAAGCCTGCCTTCACAGACAGATAACGGATGAGATGAATTAAAGTCTAAATATCTATTAGCAGAATGCTTTGGCTTTTTATAAACGCTAGTGTGCAGTTTACCTTCTTCTGTTCGTTTTATTTTACAAGCTAACATCATAGCTAATTCTCCTTGTTCATTTTCAGATTCAAATGTGAATTTTATTCCCTTTACTAGTGCGTTTATGTGTGTTCAAGAAGCTAGAAGAAGTTGTATGAGTACCTTGATATGATTATGATCAATAAATTGGGCTCAAAACGTCATCAGTAAGTCTTACTACGTTATCTGCCTGAATGGACGAAATCAGAGATTACTGGAATCGGTCTTAAGGTGCTCATCCTTTTCAAATAATGAAATATGACACTTTTACATATATATATATATACATATTACTGAAAAATTCAGAAATGTAGAAAACTATACTAACTTGTACTCCAAGACGTTGCATTAAACACAGTAGCATAGTCTCAGATTGTCTATCTGGATCACCTGAGTTGAAAACTGTACCAGGGATGCTTTCTTGACACGGATTATGTGCATAATTCCTATGATCATAATGAAGAGAATTATTATACGCTGTTGCTGTTGTTGTTGCTGTTGCCATGGTATTCATCTGATTCGCATCAGTTGAAGAATGTAAGTTGACGGGAACGCGGGCAATTGACGCAGCATTTGGAACCAATGGTAATGTTTCATATGTATCGATCGTTGGACTACTTGGCGCTGATTGGCTAACATCTGATTGGTAGGGTGAATTCAGTAGACCATTATGTGTACGACTGAAGAATGGACCACAGCGCAGTGTCATGCCACGACGTTTACGCCAGTTGGTTTGTGATGGGATTTTTGTCAGACATTTTCTTGAATCTTTACTATAACGAAATTTCACTGTATTCATTGGTCCGGGGGTTTCATCTTCACTACTGTTCGGTGATGTAGGCGCTGAAGATAGTACCTCTTTTCTCGCTAAATATATATAAAAATTTCACAAAAAATAATAATGATAATAAAATGCATAAAAAGACATTAATTTATTCAAACAAGTGTTTAACAGTAAAAGACTTCATCCCAGTGGCTGAATGGTTAACAGGCTTTCCTCGTAACCTGATGGATATGGACTTGATTCCGGCTGGAGTCACGGGTGAGTACTGCTGAAGAGCACAAAAGTAGTCGGGGAGAGATGTTCGGTTCTCTGTACGTTTCAATGATCAAAATATCATTTTAAAGGTGAATAAAAGGTGACAATTATTTTGCAACTTCATATGGATTACAAGAGGCTTAGAAACAAAAATTATGCAAGGATAGAACGAATTGCAGGTGTGAACAAAATTAGCATGGAAACAAAATGAAATAATAATAATAATAATAATTTTCAACTTGAAATGTAAGTTAGGAGGTGTGAATATAGGTTTCAAGAGGTTTAGAAACCGAAAATCACACAGGATTAGAATATAACGTGTCAGAGAACATCTTCTAGCATGGCTGCAGCCGGGATGCACTGGTTCAATCAGAAGTGCCATAACTGAACACCTCTTCAATACCTGTCACAGCTACTCAAGAAAGACCATATAATACTACGAAGAACATTGAAGGCTGTAAGTAGGGTCAGTGCAATCCCTTTGACCCAACTAACCGACACTGTTGTCAATAGGCATATGAATTCTTGTAAACACTCAGCTAAAGTCATCTTGTCTGATAGTGAACATCCTCTTTATTCACAATTGTTTCCTTGTATCTCTTCGGGTAAGACCAGAAGAAATTTCATAAACATTTATGCTCGTACTACAAAATATAAAAATTCAACTGTACCATATTTGGCACGAGTACTGTGTGAAGAGACAAATATCAGAAAAGAACTTTTACAACTTCTAAATCATTAACTAAACTATAAAATGTAATGATGCATATTATTGCATGTGTTATTTGTTATATTATTTATTTATTATTCACTATGACCTAGCAATGGTGTGATTTTTGGGGGGGGGGTTTATTTTTTCCTATTGACTATCAATATTTTAACATTTTATACATTTATATAATTATAAACAGAGCTAAACCATTGCAATATGTAAAAGAAACGCTGAAAATTCCATGCTGTAAATTGTTATTGTTGTGGAATAAAGCGATTATTATTATCAACTGACTCATCGTTCAGAGTCATTTACAAAGTAAACAAAAATTCACCTAAGGTAGTGTATTTCCAACTTAATTGTACTGCAGAAGCTCTTACCATATGCGTCGGAAAGCCTGAGCTGTGAAACTAGTGCAGCCTTTACAACTACCATGGACCAAGTTCCCTTAGCTTTCGGTATTTTTGTTTTGTTCGTTGTGTGTGTATTTTTCTCGCTTTGTCTTGATTCAATTCATCCCATTTTTTCAGTTATAAAGTCAGTTATTTTAAGTTTGTTTCCATGCTCCTCCTGATCACACTTGTAATTCGTTTAAAATAACTATTTTACAGTTATATTCTAACTCTGTGTAATTTCTTGTTTCTAAACCTCTTACAACCTATATTCACACCTCCTAACTTCCCTCTCAAATTGAAAATTATTATTTCAATTTGTTCCCAGTTGACAGCTCAACAGCCTCGGTCAACCATCAAACGCACATTCTACGCCACATCTCTTTTTCTCACATGCCGAACATTTTCGGTCCCCATACCTACGATTAAAGGACGAAATTCTGTGGACTCTACTTCAAACTGTATCTACAAGTTCACCTGCAGCTGCGGTGACACCTATGTAGGTAGAACCAATAGAATGTTCCAATGTGGTCGTCGAACATGTTCCAAAATGGCTACTAAATCATATAGAAAATCCCAATGCGAGTAATCTGAATAGAAATCCAGCATCATCCATTGCAAAACACTTATTAATGTCAGGTCACAAAATCAATATTAATGACTGTTTCACAATTATTTCACATAACTCTAATTCAAGGTTGGTTATTGAAGGTGATGGAAGCACTTTGGATTAATCACATACAGCCTAAACTGTGTGTACGAAAAACAATAGACTTCAATCTTCGCCTACCATGGACAAAATGACCTATTTAAATATGATTGGTCATTAGTATGTACTTTTGTTTTATACAACTGAGTAATTGTCATGATCTTCATTTTATTATTGTTAACCATGTTGGTTGTAAAGCGGTTGTGAAGAAACTACGAAATAACGATATCATCTCGCGAAATTCGTCTTCTAAATGCCTTAGTCAAATTTATCAAAGGGACTAGTTGTTTTAATTTATTTCCATGCTCATTTTATTCACACCCGTAATTCGTCCTATCCTTGCATAATTTTTGTTTCTAAGCCTATTGTGATTCATATCAAGTTGCAAAATATCATTTCCCAAACAAATTCATGGTACTCAGTTTATTAGATGAGAAGTAACTTGTTTGAGCTTCCGATTGATAAGTGTAAAACACGTGAGGACAGAACAGAACTGACACCTGACACCTTTTATAACCATGAACTGACTTGCCATTTTTTCCTACCCAACATTCTATGCATCTATTATGACTAATCGCCACCACTGTCCCTTATTTCACAATATTTTGTAATCGATTTCAGCCCAGAGCATGTTTGTCTCACACACAATTACCATTTATTTTGACACCCCATAAAAAATCTGTTATAAAATAGTGTGAAATATTCTCATATCCCATGAATTAAAAGTCAATCTGAATGAAGAATATTCTTTTCAATGATTGCTCTACTTCAGGTTCTTACGCAACTATAAAATATAATATTTGTTGGCGTTACACAATAATGGCCAGTTATGCAGCGGATACATTTCTTCACGTAGAATAACCGATTAGTGGTTATGGGGTGTCAAAATAAATAGTAGTACTTGTGTGACAAACGTGCTCTGGGCTGAAATCGATTACAAAATATTGTGAAATGGGAGACAACGGTGGTGGTGATGATTAGTCATAATAGATTTGTAGAGTGTGGGGTAGGAAAAAATGACAATTCAGTTCAAGGTTATAAAAGGTGTCAGGTGAGTGGCTAGTACAAAGTGGTCTGTGTTAAACAGGAGATAGTAAGACTGCAATGGGAGGTTCATAATGAGATAACGAATATGTGAAATGAAACAGGTGGAGGCATATATTGAGAAAAGAGATAATATCACTAATGATAAGTCCGGATAGTATAAATGAAAAATTCGATAGTATTGAGAGAATGTTTGCATGAAGGGTATAAATTATGACATTCTAAGCGAGAACGGATATCCAGAGAAGTTCATTAAAGCCAACATAGGTTACAATAGTCGTGAACATGAACTGGCAACAGTGGAGAAAAAGACTGTGTTTTTACGTCTCCAATTCAAGTAAGATACTCCTGTGGAGATTCTATCGCAACGTTTAACCAGGGCGATCAAAAAAACTTTCTACTCCTCACGTCTGTGTCTATCCTTCAGTAGCCGTCCAATGTTCACCCAGCAACTCAAAGATGTCTTACCTAAGCTTAGCTCTTCTTCATGCATATACCATTTCAACTGTTCCTGTGGTTCAAGTTATATAGGGCGCACGATTAGGCAGGTTCGTCTACGGGTTCGAGAACATTTACCGGCTTGGTTCAGCAGGGGGGAAATTAAGTGCATAAAAAGCTCGATCCTGTCACACTTGGTCGATACTGGACATCATATCGATGTCAACACAGCCTTCCAGTTGCGTTATATACTAAATTACGAAGTCGTTATCACGTACAGTTCGCTAACATCTCCTACACATAGCTGAATCTATTGCGCTGAGATCGACTAAACCAGAACTTTGTATCCAAAAAGAACACGTCCAAACGCTGTTCCTACCGTGGCCAAACTTGGATTAATGATTCTTCTTCTCACCAAGAGTGCATCTTCTCCTTAACTCTCTTGGTTTTTTCTTGTAGCATTCGTCATAATTTATACCCTTCATGCAAACATTCTCTGAATACTATCCGGACTTATTATTAGTGATATTATCTCTTTTCTCAATACATGCATCTAGCTGTTTAATTTCACACATTCGTTATTTCATGATGAACCTCTCATTGCAGTCTTACTATCTGTCTCCTCTTTAATACATACCACTTTGTACTAGCCACTCACTCACTCACCTGACACCCTTTATAACCATGAACGGACTTGTCAGTTTTTTCTACCCCGCATTTTAAAAAATCTGTTATGACTAATCACCACAATTGTCCTTTATTTCACAATATTTTGTAATCGATTTCAGCCTAGAGCACGTTCGTCACATAAATACTATTTATTTTGAAACCCCACAACTAATCTGTTATTCTACGTAAAAAATGTATCGGCGTCATAACTGGCCATTATTGTGTAACGCCAACAAATATTATGTTTTATGGTTGTGTTAGAACCTGAAGTAGAGAAATTATTGAAAAGAATATTCTTCGTTCAGACTGGCTTTTAGAACAGAACTGACCAGAAAAATGTACAAACAGAACACGTAAAGCCACAGTAGAATTAGAGACTGAAGAAATCTCCCCCCCACCAAAGAATTCAGTGATGGGTTGTTGAATCACTGGTGCCTCCACTATACTTGTGTGTTGAAATCTGACAGCTCTCGTACCATTCAACCTTAGTTTGTAGACTCTGGCGGAGCTTTGTAACCTAAGTTCTCTGAGAAAAGCAATTTATCGGTTGTTGTTGTATGGATAGGCTGGTGCTCGAAGGACAGACTATTTGTGTATTCACATTCATGTAGCTAGATGGTTCAACTGAAAAGCTTCCATTGTCTGTCTAGACAACATCTTCAATGCCACCTTCAGTATAAAATGGGCTTTTATAATTCCCCATGAATGTAATAACCATCTTTCTTGATAATCTTGGATAAACTTCTGCTCTGGGCCACTTCAGTGTGTGTGTGTCTACAAATTCATTTACTCCTGTGGAGCTGACTGTGCTGATGACATTATACGTCAGGGTTATCGACAGGAAAATGTTAGCCGATCACTAGC